ATTTGTGTCTTTCAAAGTGCATTAAAAAAACAATATTTTATTTAGTAAGATAAAGGGAAGTTTGTTATATACAAAATTATTGAAGCATAATATTACATTTTATTTACAAAATCGTAGAAAATTGATTGCATTATTTTATGTTTAAAAATGTAGGTGATTTTTTAAACAAAACTCTTATTTCTGGATCGAGAATATAAAGATTAATGTTTTTTTAATGAATTCTGTACTTTAATGTAATGTTTTAATATTACTATATATCCATTTTGTCAATTAAAAGAATGTTTAAAATATTATATATTTTATTAATTTGTAAGTAAAAGGAGAAATAAAATCGCAATACAAAATATATATGATATACATAATTAAATTGGCAATCATGTGTGTATATTCTTATAGATTTAATAAAATATTGTGTGCAAATATATAATCGGGCATGTTTATCAATTACTAAAGTACATAATCCATTGTTCCTTCTTTTAAGATTGACTAAAAATCGGCGCTTTTTAGTTTCAGTTATCCCATTTCCCTTTATAGAAAATAACAAAGTGTATACAACTAAACTTAACATTCCTAAAGGGATATGTCATCTATAATTTCTTTATAAAACTATTTTACATAGTATTTTATTTTCACTAGATTCAGGAAATTTTTCCTTGGACATCTTTTCTAACTTTCCATCATATACAAGTTAGTCTCTTAGAATTATGGTATTTGTAGGGGAATCCAGGACTTATCCTTATCATTCATTCCATCTCCTTTAGGGATTTTTTGAAAATCTTTTAAATTTCTGGGTTCAGGATCTTCTTTTGTAAGTATCAATGTATCTTCTGTCCCATGGTGAAGCTAATGGCTAAAATTCTATTAAAATCTTGAGAAAATCTTCCTTCAGAACACAGTTTACACCTAAAAGCCCTTAACATGGTTAAGAGTAACAAATAATTAAATATACAGATGGATCAAGTTCACAGGAGTTTCACTTTATAAGATTTGGGATGATATTTTATTTTATGTAGACTCTCTTGATTAAGGGGAGTAGACTCCTACCATTTGGTTCTCCCTAGATTCTCCCAACATCAAAGGCAAATGATGGAAGGTTCCTCAACCAAGAGAAGTCTATGTTCCACCCAAGTGTACTTGATCAAGGTTTAGTTATACCTGATACATTGAAATTTGTCTACTTGCAATAGGATCCTATAACTACTAAATTATCATATTTTATACCAATTCTGACCATAACAATACCGTTTGTTTCAGGATGTGGAGACGGAACGTGGAGCAGATAATACTTTTGCAGCAACAACTTCGCGACATCGCGTGCCTCTTCAGCTAGAGTCCGCTCTACCGGCAGTTGGCTCTCTGGCTCGATCTCACGTCTACACCCCAACAGGAAGAACCACACAAGCGAATATACATACACGTAAACACACGCCCGCAGCGAGGAAGAAATGAAAACCCACCAAATGTATGTTACACGATACGCCACGGGGACGAGGATGAATATGAACCTTCTGACTGTGATCATCGAGGATCATCGTTACGCCGAATAGTCCAGAGAACTGAAGAAGACCCATAAAGAATGCTGGAGAACAAAGGATGACGAAAAACTAGGTTGTTGATCTGATTTAACACGGTTGTGAAACCAGGAAGAGACGAAGAGGATGATGACGAAGGACAAGGTTGAGATGGATGCGAATAAAAAAGAAGTTAAGGATCACGTTTAAAAAAAAAAAAAAAAAGACACCTGCCAAGACGACCCTTTTCTCGTTTCCTCTTTTTAGCCCTGTTATTCATCATCATCATCATCTCGAGGTTGTTCCTTCGTTCCCAATTAATTACCGACTGTGTTACCCGTCGTTTTGTCAACGAGGAGTATACTTTTTATATTCGTCTTGTTTAGAGCAGGTAGGTTTAATATTAAACCTTATCATTTGTTTTCGTCATCGCCTAACGCCTTCTGTCGTATCGAAATTCTAGTTTCACCATCTGTCGGTTCTATTATATTTTTTTAAGTTTGTTGAATATAACCGTTTGCTTCCAGTGCGATGAAAAATTTTAAGTTTTGTTTCATTGTAACAGATATATTGTTAAATTTAATTGTATTAACAGATTGTTTCATCCTTATGTGTATTTTAACGTTTTGTATTGTTAATTATTGTGTGTACAAATTAATTTGATGCTTATAACAAAGGATCAAAGAATTATTTCGAAAAAAATGATAGATATTTAAATTTTGAAATTGTGATTGATAAATAGGCAACGAATTAATTTGTACACCTATTTTTTGAATGAATTTTAAAAAGTCTCTCATCCATTCATCGTCGCCCATTTTTAAACGAGAAAAGAGCCTCGTCTATACTAATTAATTAATTAATCCCTCGTCGATTATCCTGATAGCCTTTCTAATCGTATCGTCAACGAGTCGATTTTTGTATCAATTGTTAGCTCTTAAAGAAAAGTGAAAAAAAAGAAAAAAAAGAGATACGTGAAAAAAAATGATGAAATAAAGAAAATATTCTTCGATTAAGTTTCGTTATTGTATATTATAAGGGATACGGAACGTTTGATTCTTTCGATCGAACAATGACGAAAGCAATAATTTTTCATTTTGTAATGAACCCTTTTTTTTGGTACTCGTTTTTTCTCTATCTTTTTTTTTTTAATCGTCATACGAATTTTTTCAACACTTTACAATCGTTGAGTTGAATTTCCTTTTGATTTTACTCGATTTAGGTTTGCGACTAAAGAATTTTAAGAACCAAAAAAATTGTGTACTAGTGATATGAGAAAAATAAGGAGCGTCGTGTGATTACCAGAAACTTTGTAAAAAAAATAAGTGAAAAAATAGAGGAAACCAAAAAAAAAAAATAATTGAGCGATCAATTCGATGGAAACTATATATACTATATATTGATTCTGAATGATTATAAAGATCAAAAATTATGACAAGTTATATATAAAGTGCAAAAAATGAATAAAAAGTTATATAATTAAAGAGATACGTTGTAAAATATGCGATGTTATTTTTTTTCTCTATATTAGTTTCTTGCAATCGATTGAGGGAAAACTGAAATTTCTTATTTCTTTTTATTTAGGATTTATAAATAAAACGTGATTTCGATTAAAAATTAATAATACGAATTTTAGATTAAGTTAGGTGATATAAATTGTCTCATTCTAGCGAACGAACATTTTTGATACTTAAAAAATTATAGAATCGAAATTAATGTTGTATGTTCTCTCCATTTAATAGATTGTATATTTAAATTAATCGCATAATCAATCGGAGAAATTTAATAAAGATATTTTTTCTACTAAAAAAATTTTATCCTATATTATTCAGTTAAAATTTAGTTTTTTATATCAAATTTGGTTAATTAATTGAGGGACATATGAGAGAACCATTCAAACACGTGACGAACGAAAAATAAATAAATACTGATACTAACGACGAAAGAAAAAAAACCAACACTCGATTAAATTACATAAAACGAATCAATAATAATTAACAAAAAAGTATATGTATAAATATATATATAAATATATTAACAAAAATATGTATGTATATATATATTTATATTTAAGATTGAAACAATCTTGTATTCTATGATAAGTAATTGTTTTTTATATGCGAAATAGTATATATATATATTATTATTATAATACGTGATACGTATATACATGTATATGTATGGATACGTGTAAAGGTATATATAAACATGTATATGTGTATAAATGATAAAAAATGAAACAAAACGAAAGATATTAACGGTATGATTAATAGCGTACGCGTGAATTAATTATTTTCTATGTATGTGTATATGTATAGAGGCACACATATCAGTATGATTCATATGTGTGAGCGTTTTGCGTACATATATGCAGACATAACGAATGTGTGATTCTTGTGACATGAGTGACAGAGAGGGAGAGATTGTGCAATAGAGAGAAAGGGAGAGTGTGAAAATTCATTGATTCGAAACGAAGATCAATGAAGAAGAAAAAAAAATTTGACAATTTTTAGTGTTAAACGTTTTCTGTACTATAGGTAGAGAGCCATGAGTATCTTGCGAATAATACAGTATGATTTGGAGACATTGTTCGTTGAATTCTGTTTCTATCATTCTACTTCAAACAGGAACCCCGGATTTTTATAAAAAATTTTTATTTAGTGGTATTATTTGTGTTTTGATTAGACAGTCCATTGTAACCAATTTTGTCGAAGGATTCTATATTTTACTGAGAATATTTTAGATAGAAATTTTTATTTCGTGGGTGTAGATATGTTTATAATTTATATAGAGATGTATTAAGATTTCTTATCATATTGCTTGTTCTTATTTTGAAAACGAAGGATTCGATTATTTGTTTATTTAATATAAGCTACAAATACTAAAGATTTATAATTTGTTTGTTATAGATCCTTTTTAAAAAAGACCGCCGAGATAGTACCGCAGCGCCATCTGTGCAAGATGTGCTGAACTGTAACCAAACAGTTGGTATATACCGACAGGTTTCCGACGTTCATTACCATCGTGGCACGAATACTTGAAGTTTCAGCGTTTCGCCGTTAGATAGCGCGGCAGCACAGTTAACGGCGGTCCCTTTAGAGAGTTTTAAAATTGTTAGATAATAGTTTTGAGGGTTTCTAACAAAACAAGAGAAGCAAAAATAGCATTTATTTTATAAAAATGTACAATTTTTTCTTTTATTAGTTTCATTGATAGATAACATTAGCAGTACCATTTTCCAAACGCGCATCGCTATAAAATTAAACACATATAGAAATAACTTCAATTTTATGAGCTCAGCAGTCATAAAAAATATTACTAGTCTCTTGTTTTAAAAAATATCGCGTGTCACAGAATTTTAAACTTCAAATATTCAAATCGGCGCTTCGATTTCGCGGGCGAAAGCTTTCGATTGCCGACAATCTCGAAGGAAGTCCCGCGCATGCGCGCGGCTCAATTTCTCCTCACCAACCCGTAAAGCTCGAGTGGTGGGGTCAGTCGGTGGATCGATCGACGTCCCGTCGAACCTCGCGGTCGTGAGCGCCGCTGCGCCTCTGGGGCGGGGCGAGAGGGCGCCTCAGTCGTGTACCGGAGCCCATCAGGGACGCGTCCAGCTCCTCGAACGCTTCGAGTTGCTCGTTCGCTCGGATCTCTCTCTTTTCTCTCGATCAACCTTTATAAAAAAATCGGAACCTCGGTTCTAAGTAACCGAGACGCGTAGCTCGAGTTATCGTTCAGGGAGAGAGAGAGAGAGCAAACGTGACCGTTCAGTGTTCTTTGAAATACGAGAAATTACAATTATCGTCGTCCTTCCTTTTCGTATCCTGTTCGAACGTTGTCCGGGATAAGTCATTCGGTTAGTTTCGTATCAAGCAGTGAGAATCGGTTCGACACGACACGGTTCGTTCGGGATTTTTCGGAGCCGGTTCGCTTTACACTCGATCCCTACCGGTCATATTGATTCGAGAGGTGATACGGGCGTACGTACATAGGGATACACGCACGTCCACAGTGAGACAAGTGAGATATACGTGGAGTAGGTGCGTAAAAAGGGTTTTGAAAGTATCCACGGGGTAGAGGCGTCTATGTGCGCGCCCGGAGACACGGACAGCTACCCTGGCACCTAGCGGACGACGTGGGGTGGCTTCACCAGTGAGTCTCAATTTTACGCCCTTCTTTTTCATCCCTGATTTACTCAAATTATCCAGCGTTGCCTCGCTTATCTCATTGATTCAGAAAATCAATTCTGCTTAATATCCTATGATGACAAAATTAATATTGTGTTGTGATATATAAAGACCCATTTCATTCTGATGCACGCTGGGTAATTTAAGCTAAAATAAATATTATATTTAAAATTGAATTTTGCAATTTTTAAATAATTACAGTGCGATTAAGATACTAATATATAATATTTCAATTTTATGTATTAATAGGACTATTGGAACTATATATTAAGGCTATCCATCTTATCAATACTCCAGGTCCAATATTGATATATTATCACCATACAAATTTTCTTACAAGTACATAAATTTTTTATTTGTAAAATTCTCTAAAACCTTGGTATAGGAAATTTAAGTACCTATTCTAAGTATAATCAATATTGTAAATATTTTGGAAGGTATAATAATTAATATTGGTCGAGGAAAACGTTGGGTCAGAGCGGTTAATATTTAATCTATTAATACCCAATGCTGCGTATACGGAACGTTTCCCTATACCTTCTACGGTTAAAAATGTTTATTTTATCGTACAAATAATGTACTTTCAACCTTCGAAAATTAACGAGTTAACCTCTTGCCTTAGAATTTTATTTCTTTTCATAGCCAGTTTTTTATCGCTGTTAATATTAAGATAAATAATGTTGCAATATTATTCGCACTTTGAATATCAGCCACATTTGGCGGAACTGAAGTGCGAATTGCGTCACCATAAGGCACGGGGTTAATCGCACACGGGATACAGTGATTTTCAAAACGTTCCAGATTGCGCGTAGGAGTGACAGCACTGTCCTTTTCTGTTCTTTGTTTAATCGAACTATAGTGGTCGGCTCAACGATGAAATTTAATATCTTTGTGGTGTTCCACGAACGTGCTTTGTTTGCTGATCAGAGGAAACATTTGATTCCAAGGAAAATCAAATATAAATTAATAATTAATTTTTCAGAAATCAGTATCGATATTATATATAATTAATTGCAATGGGTCTATATGACAAAATTTACAAATGGAAAAGAAAGTTGTATTGCGATTTAAAAATTAATTAACAATTTTTGAAAAAATAATTAATTTTTCAGAAATCAGTATCGATATTATATATAATTAATTGCAATGGGTCTATATGACAAAATTTACAAATGGAAAAAAAAGTTGTATTGCGATTTAAAAATTAATTAACAATTTTTGAAAAAATAATAAATAATGGGTTGGTTCACATTTATTATGAATTAAGGTGTTTTTAAGTACACCATAATTCTCTCATTGATCAGTATATCCGAGCAGTCGTTCTAATGTCAAAATAGATTTTATTTTCGAGAGCTTGGGAACCTTCGAATATTTTTGACTAAGATTTTCATGTTTTTTTTTTGCTCCTGTTCGTCGACCCGAGTTCTAAACGCCTTTGATAGATCATCAGTTGTGATCGAAGACTACGGTCTGTGAGACAAACCGTAGGCACAACGTAGATCTACCCCCTTAGATAAAAGAATTTGATAGCTTTGAAAAATTTAAAATATTTTATATTTTGAAAAATTAATTAGCCATGGAGGATCAACTATATCAATTTTAATTTTTTTTTCTTAAATTGTATCTTGTGTTTTAATATAAAATTGAGGTACACATGTTGAGCAGATGTTTAAAAATTAGATTTCCAAGAAGAAGCTACATTTCTTCAAAGAAAAAGAGAGAAATTTAAGTACTTGAAGTAGAAGATAAAAATAGGCGAGTTTGCAGTTTTAGTATTCTCGTAAGTTTTATGGTCTCCTTCTTATTTATCGTTTGTTTTAATGAAAGCTCGTGAGGTACAGGCGTTTTTTAAATATCCTTAGAACAATATCAAGGTTTGATCAAATAATTTGTATAAAATTAGCCTGTGTTAATTTAAAGAAATTAATTTCTTTTGATTTAAAATATACACGGTGTCCCATAAAAACTGAATATTTCTCTATATAAAGGGATGTACAGGGTGCTAAAATAAAATATAAACAATTGCATATGAATTATTTATTAATATACTTAAGTTGCAATAACCAGCCATTTTATTTTAAGAATACTGATGGCTCTCTTATACAGTAATTTTGATTAAATCTTAAACTTTAAATTGATATGCCATAAGTGGTATTTTGCAATACTTTTATGTCATGAAATCATCATTAAACTTTACACCCCTCTAAATCAGCCACTATTCACTATAACGAGCAAGCAGCCATTTTGTATCAAGAATATCCATAAAACCTTTATGCAGCTATTTTCCTAAAACCTTAAACTTAAAATTGTTATACCATAACTGTTATTTTATAATACTTTTCTGTCATGAAATCAAGTCGATAAGTTCATCGAATATGAACTAAAATCCTAAACTTTTAATGTAATATAATATCTTTCTTAATATGAATCGTTTAAAAATTTGTCTTCAGTGAAAAAATAGCAGATTCCTTGAGCAAATGTTAAACACTCTGTCAACAGTAACAAGTTAAGAAATAGTCCGATTTTAATATTAGTGGATTCGTGACGCATTGATGGTACTTCGCTACCACCTCGCAGCGTGCAAGTTTTATTTTTCTTCGGGATATTTTCGAAGTCGTTTCATGTCTTTGAAATATCGTTTTTATAGGGCAAGGTTCAAGGATTAAAACAATATTTTCATATCCTTCGCTCATTACTCGAAAAGGCCTTATAAAAATGTTTTAATCCAAAACTGTACTTTTCCCATTAATTTCATTCTTTCGAGATATGGATTTTATAAAATAAAGTTCAAAGAATGAAATAATATTTTTTTTGCTACCCTTCGTACAAATTTTAGGCGTTAAAAAAAAATTCTGAAAATGGTAAAATTTTCGTTATTTTCAAAGCGAGGCTCGAATCGCGGAAAAAGGGGAAGACTCGTTCGAACGGATCGTTAAGGCGTAACAAACAAATTACTCATCCCGATGTAAAGTTATCGAGTGTGTAAACGAACTCTCGTCTGATAAAAGTCGTTTGCAATTAGCGGCGCTACATTGTTTGAACGTATTGATGCGTTCGTCGCGTGCGAATGCACCCATTTCTCTCTTTTTATCTTTGTTCGATAAGCCTCGAAAATGAAATTTTAAGCCAACATTCAGCCGGAAATGAAGCACCCTTATATCATTATAATCAGACTGCAGATGTTGAAGTTCGACGATTATTTCATGACAGAAAAGTATTACAAAATACCACTTATGGTACATCAATTAGAAGCTTAAGGTTTGATAAAAATTATTATGAAAAGCTTTTTGTTATTTGGATTATTTGGATTTTTGGAACCAGCCATTTTGCATTGGGAATATTAACGAGACCTTTGCACAGCCATTTTTATCGAACCTTAAGCTCTAATTTGATGCACCATATTCGGTATTCGGTGATACTTTTATCTCATGAAATCGTGTCAGAATTTCAACGTTTCCATTTGATGTGCATTGTAATAGAATTCTACATTTTTGCCATACTTTAACCTTTAATTTGATATACCATAAGTGGTATTTTAAGGTACTTTTATGTCATGAAATTCTATTAATATTAAAATTATAATTTGATTTATGTAATTAATAAAATTGTACATAGTGCTATAATTAACTTTTAAACTTGGATGTAAATATGGGTCAAAATGATCATAACATAGAAGGTCCGTTTCCCAAGGGTTAAAGTGTTAACCACAGCGTAACGACAGCGTGTATTGCGGTTGGCTCTCAGCCCTGTTGATATCACTGCTTCGTCGAAGCATCCAAGTACGCACTCAATATCGAAAGCTTTGGGTTCGAGATAGGAGGTCTTCTTATCAAAGCCGCGGGAAACACGTTCCCTGACCGGTCAGAAATAATCATGAATAGCTTTATTAATATTCTCGTCTGGTCTGAACCGTCGTCACGCGTTTCCATCTCGTTGTTCGTTAATTGAGTGGTAACGAGCACGTTGAATCTTGGAACTGTTAATAAAATGTCCTGTCTCGTAACGTTCCTTTCACTGCCCCGATAAATGTACCTTTATTCTGGAAATTCAATTTCTCCATTGGGTATTGTTCCGATTTTCAATAAACGAGTAAACCGATAATTTAAGGGGTATTGATACTAGATTAATTTCAAATAAAATTAATATCATTCTGAATTATTAAATATTATACAATAAATAAAAAATATTAATTACAATTTTCCCCAAAAAATTCCTTTACAATGCTATTTGCCCTAGGGAAGTCTAATGTACACTAATGGGCATAGTAGTGCACTGTACAGTGGCGAGCAAGGAGGCTTCCCTAGGGGAAAACTCTCACCATTCCCCATAGAAACTAGGTACTCAAATTAATATTTATTTTAAATTAAGTAGATCCATTTAATAATTAACCTAACGTAATGCCTAAGAATAATGTGCTATAAAACGAGTATCGAGGACCTTCCCTTAGAGGTCTCCCATGCTCGGTACTGTAACACAAGGATCCACTCAATGGAACACGTTCGAAATCCGTCTTGTTTCAGAGCTAGTGCTCGCGAGTGGTTATTTTCCACGTCCCAGGGTGGCGGTCTCCGTCGCTAGTAAGGAGAAACGGCAATCGTCGGGAAGGAGCTAGTGAAGAAGCAACCACCGGAAGCAAGGAGTCGCTCGAGGGTGTTGACGAGTAACGAACAAGGAGACGAAGACGAAGACGACGCCGTCGAAGAGGAAGAGCAGTCCGAGGGTGGCGGTGAAGAAGCAAAGGAGGTGGTGGAGGAGGAGGAGGGTGGTGGTGACTAGGAGGACGACGGTGGTGGTGGAGGAAATCTCGAGACGACTCTTGCGACGCGAGTCGCGAGCGGTGGTCAGGAAGAGGGTAGAGTAACGGTTTCGGTTCCGAGGTAGGGGAGAATTAGAGGTTGGTGGTGGCGTTTGTGAAGGCAACCTGTAGCAAGATGGGCTGTGCCATGTCCGCGGAAGAGCGGGCCGCCTTGGCCCGCAGCAAGCAGATCGAGAAAAACCTGAAGGAGGATGGTATCCAGGCTGCCAAGGACATCAAGCTGTTGCTGCTTGGTGAGTTCATTTCGAACCACTCTGTATTTAGCATGCTCGATGCTTAGGCCAGGTTTACATTGGGCAACAAGCCGGCCCAGGAGGCTGCGCCGGTACATGGGGGCGAGGAGGATAACCTGCCTGACAGCCTCCTTCCCTTTTCCATCGCCCCTGTCCACTGACAAAGGCTACCAGCTTGGCTACTTGATCAATGGAAATTCGGCTTAAGGATCATTGAGGACCTACAAGAAGTTTAACACATAGTAGGCTTAGGACTATTGTTTTGAATGGGGAATCTACCAAGGGGGTAGGTCAATGATCCCCATCAATTTCCTTGGAACTTTGCAGGTAGATAGTGGTCCCAGGGTATTTTATTTGTACAAATTTATTTTGAAGAAGGAAATCATCCCCTGGAATAATAAAAAATTAAAAATATTTTATTTTCTAGCAAACCAAGTAGATTATTAAAATATGACAATTTTTGTTAAATGTACATATTCATTGTAAGGGTTGAAAATTACACTCTCTAATTTGAGGGGGAGGATTTAAATTAGGCTTCTCTAAAAAAAAAATGGGACACCAATCCCAGGTTCCCATCCTTTTTTATAGGCATCTCTGAGAAGAATATAGGAGTCATTAGGAGGCGTTAACCTTCTATCAGTATAATTAATTCAATAAATTTAATAATAATTAGAGTGACTGTAACAAATAACTTAAGAAAAAGAATTGAATGGGTATTTTTAGAATACTAGTATAGGAGAGTAATACACTTGAACATGAAAAAGTAGCTGTTACATAAGTAGGATGTCGAGCCTTAATGGGTTAAATTGATCATAATATAAACAACGAATATAAAACCATTAAGGAGGCAAGTGTTTATTATGTAATAGCTTACTGGCCATTCGTACCCATTTAAAAGCACATTTCTAATTATAACTATGAAAGAAACAAATATAATTAACTTTTTATTTAAATGCATATTTTAGTATTGAGAAAAATAAATGTTTATTTTAAATATTTTTCTTTTGTTAATTTTCCGGAACACTTTTGTCTGGGCCTGGATTATATCATTAAACAATAATTTTTTAACGAGATTTTATTAAATATTTATTTTCAGATAAAGTTGTTATTTTAAAAGTGAGAAATGTAAATTATATGTAAACAGTTTTTAACGAACAGTTGAAATAGTTTCAAGAGGGCATCACTATTGAAGTAGCTAATTAATTGGCTCGTTGTTCTCGCAAATTTCATTTACGTGTTCGATGTACTGTTTGTTTTTAATGACTCTTCTGATCGTGACTTCAAATTAATGAACTCCATCATAATTAGCGTGAAATTAGCAATTATTAACGCGAACGTGCGCCTGCAAATCGACAAGTTCCATTCTATTGTATTCCCATTATTATCTTTCTCGCCATTGAGAAATCAATTTTTCAGAAAATTAATCTACTTGAATTTTTCAAGCTTAATGGTACTCGAACAAAAATATGATTATTAAGTATCCTTTAATTATCCTTTTTATATAATTGTTTTATAAATTCATAAATTAATTAAGTTAATTTATGAAAAGTATTATTTGCAATATTTTAACTTCCCAATGTAATGTTTATTATTATGGTACCTTTATTGATTAATACTCATTTTTATTTACATATGATTAAGCTTTATTAATCAGACAGAGAGGTATTTCCACCGCCTTCAGTGTGGAATATCAAGATTTTTCAGAAAATTTTATGTCCAATTGAAGCAGAGACAAAGAATTTCTGGTTTTCTGGTCGGCATTTAAAGTCGAGATTATTCGAGGGAAATCTGGGTTCTGTTTATTGGTGTTACCAATGACGTCATCCCTTTTGCTTGCGTCTTCCACGAGTATTTTCATCCCATTTATGCTGCGGGAAACGCAAACGTTCGTTCTTTACTTTAACCCGTATATCATTCGCTAATTTGAATGGGTGTTAAATCATTGCCATCGATAAAATACCGATGACGACTGATCGATGGTGATAACAACCGATGGATAGGATCAACCAGAACCAGATGATTTTCATTACGACGATGATACGAATATCAGTAATAAAAATTGATTATGGTAATTGGTATTAATAATTAAAGATACCATAAGGAAAAATATTGAATCTTATTTTGAAGAACCAGCCATTTTATGTTGAAAATATTAACGAAACCTTTATGCAGCTATATTCCTGAAGCTTTAAGCTTTGATTTGATATGCCATAAGTGGCATTTTATGGTACTTTTATGTCATCAATTCATATTAAACTTGATACGTTTCAAAATCAAACATTATCGGCCATTTTGTGTTATATCGATGGGGCTGTTATGCAGCCATTTTCCTTAAACTTCGAGCTTTAAATTGATATGCCACAAGTGCCATTTTGTAATCATTTTATGTTATCAATTCATATCAGACTTTCAGTGTTTCAAAATTTGCCATTTGATATGCAGGAACCTAATAGGTCAGTGACATGTCTCTCACAAAGCATATCAGTCAGTAACATAATAAGTGATATGCAGCAAGTGGATTAAGTTTTAAAAATCAAAATGGACCTTAATAAAATAATAAATGATAATAATAATATTTATAATGATATGCCTCTTACAGAACATGTCAATCGTTAACACCATCAGTGACATGCAACAAATGGAACAAGACTCTCCCTATGAAATCTTAACCCATAACGATTAAAACCCGTGAACAGGCATTAGCAACGATTTCGATCATAGAAACGAGCACGAAGGATAGATAACCGATCGATTGGCATGAATTTATTAGAGAAGGGTTAAGCTATGTAAGTGACATGCGATAAAAAAACGCGACGGAAGTCGGGTGTAATGGCCAACTTGACGAAGTAGAATCCAACCGTACCAGCAGATCGATAGAAGTAGAACGTGGTAGGCACACGGTTCGGGATGAAAGAGCTTTTTAAAAGAGGGGGAGACCCGCCACCCATAAGCAGGAAAACAAGTTCCGCTGGCACAGTGTGCCACGTCATTTCCGGTCCCATGCTTCCGTCCTCGGGAGCGGAGCTTTTTCCGTTTCGCGCATCTTTTTCGCTTGTCTTCCTACAAAATTATAATTTATGGGACGATTCCATTTTTTATTACCTCGTCCCCTAAGTACCACGTGTCGTTCACGTTCCTCGTTATATACCGGGTGTTTCAAATTATTAATTATTATTTTTATCCAAACCAACCTTCACTGCTGAATCTAAGATGCGGGCCGATCGCTGTGTGCCGCAACGTTTAAATCTTGACCATTTACCCCGCGATATCGCGTGATCGGATTTTTAAGGTAGATAGTTGCGTACGCGATATCGAATGTGCGACAGTAGAGATTTTTGTCGAGATTAATGATTTTTTGGTAGAAGTAATTATTTATTTTTTCTTTTAACATGGAAAATTATTATTATTTATTCTCAGGGTGTGTAGATAAAAATGTACAGGGTGGTTCAAATACTTAATATTGTAAACTTTAATTAACATATTTTACAAATTAGATACACAGGGTGTTAAAATAGTTGAATGAAAATCACGAGTGTTAAATTTTTTAATCCTTGTAATTATATTTCATTTCTTTGTGTTTCAGGTGCTGGTGAGTCTGGGAAAAGTACCATCGTTAAACAAATGAAGTAAGCCCTTTATATTAATTTATTTAGAAATATTTTATCAGAACTGGTCTAAGAATGTGATTTTAATATTTCCATCAAAGTAATGTAATTATCACTAGTAATTGATTGTTCAGCAATAATCGTTGCCAAGAAGAAAGAGTAACACCATTGTCTCTTAACATCCTAAGGGTTGTTCACCTCGAAAAATCGATAGTTTCCATGTTGAAAGACTGGTTGCCAGTAAAACATGTTTGAAATCTTGTTTTCTCGTCAATGGTTCCATTCATGGTGTGCTATGAACAAAGCACCTCGTGTTCACTTACAGACATCATTCTTGGACCATTGATTAACAATGTGTTAACGAACAATCAATTTTTTTTGTATTATAAATTAGAAATCCGAAACCTTAAATTACAAATTGAAACTTTAACGTTTAATTATATAGATTCAAAGAATTTAAGAAATAATGATAGCAAAGTTATGAATTTTAATCCTTTCACTACCATAGGCGACTATAGTTCAATTATAAATTTTTTAATTCCAAAATAACAAAAATAAAATACAAATGTTAGAATTAGAAATAAAAATAAATGGATCAAAATATTTCTCGTTGCAAATAAAATTATTTTAATAAACGAATACCGAGGTAAAAATATAAATTCTTATTATTGATGACACTGACGAGATTGTTTACTTTTTTTCTTTCAGAATTATCCATGAAAGTGGATTTACACCTGAAGACTTCAAGCAGTACAGGCCCGTAGTGTATAGCAACACGATACAATCTCTAGTCGCTATTCTAAGAGCGATGCCAACTTTGGGCATCAGCTTTTCGACCAATGAACGAGAGGTAAGTTGGTACCTCCTAATATAATATTTAAAAATTGCTACCATATATATAGTTCTTATTCTTCAATATAAAAGGAACATAAGGTTTTTAAATTCCAAGTTCTTGGGAATATTAAAAGAATCAGTCTTTCTTATGGGATTTAATCACCATTGAAGCTCCCTATAAGGATAGTGGACAATAAGGGTCCCAAGTCTTAATCCTCAGCATATATCAAAGGTCTTTCAAATTTCTATAACAAAAGGAAGATCGATAATCTTGGACCTGAAATCTTTATGTAAAAATGAAAATTTATCAACAATTGCTTAATAAATTATATTTCTTTTTTTTTTAAAAAACCTTCCATATATATTAAAAACCAAATGCCATCTATAAAAAGATGAACATTTAAGCGATCGATGAGTATCTTTGAAGACGATTTCTGAAGCACCCTCCTCGGTATATTTACCGATCGTGGCTCCATCGTTTACCTTAGAACCAATAACGAGCCCCTGTCTTGAAAACAACGGGCACAAGGGGTTGCCTCGAGTGCCGATTGATCCGAGTTCTTGAATCAGTGTCTCTCAATCTGATCACTTTTATTGGTAATAACACATCTGATCAATTCTTTTTTCAGACGGACGCGAAAATGGTGTTCGATGTGATCCAGAGAATGGAAGACACCGAACCATTTAGCGAGGAACTTTTAGCTGCAATGAAGAGGCTCTGGGCTGATAACGGGGTCCAGGAATGCTTTGGAAGGAGCAACGAGTACCAACTCAACGACTCTGCAAAATAGTAAGTCAATTAATTAAAAATTTTACTAATTAATATACCTAACACTTCAAATACCATGGGGACCATAGACCACCAATGTATGAAAGGTATAAATATAAATTTAAAAAAAGATTCTATAAAAGACACTTTCTTTTTTTGGCATAATGCAAAACCGACTAGCTCGAAGGCAGTCCAAACACGAAGAGGGTCACATTAAACTTCTAAAGAAATCGATTTCGCATCTTCACCTTCAAGAAGCCTTTTTTTTTTCGGTTTTACAAAAATGTGTCTCCGAGCATCAACTTTTATTTCACTTTACCAAAAATCTTTCAGAAAATTGGGATAGATACAGTTTAACTACCCTTGTATGATGAAGCTGGGTCAATCGTGACCCATATTTGGGAAATGTACAGCTAATAATTTTCTTTTTTCTTATTGAATATATTCTGATTGTAATTAGTTGAAGATTTAGATCATTGACACGATTTATTATATACATTTATTTACAAATAAACTTAACCCAGAGGAGGGCTTGCCAAAGTCCTTACTGCCTCTACCCTCGAATTTGGAATACGTCCAAATCTAATAGAAACTCTCAACCTTTTGAACCTTCATTCATATTCAGTGGCCAATGTCTGCCAGCATCTAAGAAATTAATTACAGTTTGCTTAAGAATCTTCAATTTAACTTCCTCCACCATTTCATTATCCAATTTCCTCTTATTTCAGTTCCATAATAAACATAAAGTGTGTATTTTCAATTTTTCAATTTAAAATAGAAAACCTGGAATTATTCTTTCTTTTTTATTAATTAATAATAATCTTTATCATTATAAAACAATGTATTTAAAAAGAAAGGATCTATGATGTTTTAAGATTGTACGAATTTAATTATGCTTTCGAATGAATCTAACCTAACCTAATTTCGTTCGAATGTATGGACGATAAAACATGGACAAAGGAGAAAGAAATTTCCAGGGGATTTTGAGCATTCCTTCCCGGTTTTTCCCCCGTTTCCTTTTCTCTTATTTAGGTTTAGCCGCGTATTGATCGCCGATGACGTCACGCCACGCCCCTGTCACGTGGCCTAAAATGGCTGCCGGCATCAACCCCTCCCTCCCACCATTCGCTCGTTTTCACCCTCCTTTCTAACCCCCAATTGTTTCTCTTTTCATTCTGTTAACGCTTTTTCGGTACGCCGAGAAGAACAACAAAATATAGGGGTACACGAGAATGAAGAGAAGCTGGAGGGTTGGTGGGGAACAGTGGGAGGGATAATGGAAAGAAAACCCCACTATCTCGTTGGGAAATTCTTAATAATTGGACACTTCATAATTAGCTAGAGAAACGAGAAAAGAAGTGGCTCAGAGAAGTAGAGTTGAAGTGATGAAATTGAGTAAGAGGGCGGTGAAATTTGGACAGATGGTACTTTTCATGGAAATGAGGCTTAACCTATCCATCGTGTTCAAGAGAACTAACCCTAGTTATATAATAATTGGTTTTTTAAATAAATGTAATAAAGATATTTTTTTAGGTTCAAATACAATAGGAGGGTCAAATTTGACCCCTTTATTACTATAATTTAAGAATTTACTCTATGGCTTTTTATTAATGTATAATACACTTATATTTGTCCTTCTCCCTTCTATTAGTACAATATGATCAGTAAATTATTTTCAATTTTTTATGAAAAATTTCACTTAATTGTTACTTTGAAATTTTTTTGAGCCACCCGGTATATTTCCCCGATATAAGGAATAATCGTAAACGCTATAACTAAAAAGCATATGATATACGATGCTCTTAGAAAGCAACTGGTGATAAGCCCAAGCTATACCCCACATGTACAGGGTGTGTATTTTGTTGTGTAAATAAGAAATTTCTTAGAAACGTAACCTTTATTTCCTTGTTATTCCTTATCAGTATCATTATCGATAAAGATGAACTGCGTTTGAAAATCTAAATTCAATATAACATGCATCGCATATGAGTGAATTTTTACAGAGTATGTACTGAGTTAGGTGGACACCCGTTAGTGATCATTTGGTTACAGGAACTATGGAAAGCAATATAAAGCCCACGCATTGCGATAAGACGAAAGTGTTTCTGGAAGCTACAGGTGCATCCAACTTTGGCAATGAATGGCGAATCACGAGCAGTGAAGATCGATCGATACCGACCTCGATTACCACCTCAATCTAAAATGTCATTTACCTTCTAGGGATCCCTAGGAATGCTTTACACCGGGTGTGCCAAAAGTCCCTAGAAACATCTTACAGACGAAAAATCAGAAAATCGCCATTTACATAGTTGAAATTTTAAAATTAAGATCTATTAATTGGCGTTTAACAAGTATACGAGTTAAAATTTTTATGTTTCTTTGAAATTCTAGTTTCTTGGATGACCTGGACCGATTAGGAGCAAGGGATTATCAGCCCACAGAGCAGGATATTTTAAGGACTCGTGTTAAAACAACGGGCATAGTCGAAGTCCACTTTTCCTTTAAGAATCTTAATTTCAAGTAAGTTCAAAATTATTTTGAACCATTCTAACCTGGTGACGCACCAGGTGCGTCACGTAATGCTTATCCAGTTAAAGTAGTGACGCAACAGGTGCGTCTTGGAAAGAAATGTACATTAACCATTTATTTTTCATATTACAAAACATCTATTACAATAATTTTAATTATTTAATTCATGTTTTGACAAATCTGCTCGATTTTGTTACAAGATAATGAAAAAGAGAATGATTTTTGTTTTCATTCGAGGTTTGCAATCAAACATTCGTACAAATACAGGTGCAATTTTATCTTTTATCATTTTAGACACATTAGGATATCTTAACAGACGGGAAACTGTTTTCCATATTTTTATCTTGTACTCTAGTGATAGCGTACTTCAGTTTAGTCGTGTTAACATCCTGTAACGAAGAATCTACAAACATTAGCTGCCAAAAAAGATTATAGAAAATTTCGTTTCTTCCATTGTTAGTGATTAAAAGAATCATCTATACTTATCTTACAAAGGAAAATAAAAAATGATGAAATTTGGTGATTTAATTATCTTGATAAAAAAATAAATCTCAGTTCAATCACTTAATTATTGTTAATCATTTAGAAATTAATTATTTTCTTAACCATTATTCATCTGTTAGATAATAAAATTAAATCCTGTTTAATGCACTAAACTTTATTGAATTAATCTTACCAAACTACAATAGTGATCTCATGATTATACACTACTAAATTGCAAATTGTGAATGAGAATAAGTGCTTGAAGCGAATTGTGTTACTACTCGGCCGACGTGGACTGAAATAAATCATTTCTATTCAGAGAACATCCATTAGCTCTGACAGTCTAAACTTTCAAGATATTAATCACTCTACGGTATACACCTTCGTTCAAAAGTCAGAATATTTACTAAAATATCATAGACCTTAAAAAAAGAATTCTGTGAAAAATAATGAAGTAACATTGAAATCTATTTAAAGCTAAATATAATTTAAACAATTTATGATTAATTAAATTTTATTCAAGGAAGCATGTGTCCTATGACTTTTTAAGTATGCACTCGAAATTGCCCGTAGGGTTCCCGAGTGCCCGCGTGCCCGCGTGTATGCCCGACGTATAATCTTCGCAAAATCCACCATTCATTCATTTATTAACGAACATTTATTTTTCATTGTTACAGATTGTTTGACGTGGGCGGTCAAAGAAGCGAACGTAAAAAATGGATCCACTGCTTTGAGGATGTCACAGCGATTATATTTTGCGTTGCGATGTCCGAATACGATCAAGTTCTGCACGAAGATGAAACGACGGTGAATATTTATTTATTTTTAGATAAGACTGTGGAGAATTCTCCATAGTCTTCTACTCTATGAAGATTATATTATTATGATGTATCTATGTACAAAGAGATATATGATCCGTCATGGTTGTGGAATTTCTGACAATGGAGTAATTCAAGAAACCAGCGAAATCTTAACTATAGAATAACAAAGTGTTATACACCTCAGGAATTTAGAGAGCAGAGTCAAATCTGACCCTTAAGGATCAATGAATATTAATAATATTATAAAGCAATTTTTGTTTATTAATATTGTAAATTAGTAACATTTCTCATGGATGAATACTTTTATTGTTTATGTATGTATAAGTCAATTGACAATCCAACGTGGGAAGAATACATGACAGGCTGCAATTGTTGAAAATTAACCAGTTCTCCAGCTGGGACGACCTCATCGATTAACCCCTCGCATTCTTCACCTCTGTAGAATGATTTACTCGTTATTTTTCAACTCAGACATTACAACATCAAATCTTTACTCTCTATGTAATAAAGTTCGATAATTTTGAATTTATAAACAAATGATGCTACTATGATTTTAGGTGGACATTAAATAATTTTCCATAGTGATGTTAATTGTTTGTTACAGAATCGAATGCAAGAGAGCTTGAAATTGTTCGACTCGATTTGCAATAACAAATGGTTCACCGACACCTCGATCATCCTTTTCCTGAACAAGAAGGATCTTTTCGAGGAGAAGATTCGCAAGTCTCCGCTCACTATTTGTTTCCCTGAATATGCTGGTAAGGATCCATCGATCGTTCATTTCTCAGATCACCTTGTATATTTTCCATCCAGCAAACAGAATTTAAAACATTCAATCTCCAAATAACGAGACCCGATAAATGGGAGCGTCATCTGTTCATAACGATCGAATGTAACGTACGGTGTAAAAATAGACGCGGAAAGTTCTCATTGTTATAAAAAGTTCGTAGTCTGTTGCCGTCCTTGGGATTCCTTCACGATCCACAAGAAATCTACATCCTCCTGTTTCAGATACACCATGATCTAAATGCGTATTCCTCATCACCAACTTTTCCATCTGTGTAGTCATTATTTCCAAATAACACAGATTCTGTCTTCACAGAGAAGGTGATCTTTATTTACTTTTGGTTTGTTATGAAATAATTGATTATTTACAAATTTAACACTTTGGTGTGTCATTTTATGAATTTAATTAAGTGGGAAGTTAGGCTCCCCCTATGCTCCTCCTGGGGATCTTCCTAGACTCTTCCTAGATTTGGTTCAGCTCTCCCAAAAATGAAAGCTCCATATGGTGTGGGTTCCTTCCTCCAAATATAATAGCAATAATTCTGTGCAATGTAGACTACCTATGGCTGAGAGTAAAATTGAAGAAAGGAATCTTCCATCATTTGCTCTTGATTGTGGAAGAACTCAGAATCTAAAGGCAAATAGTAGAACCTACTTGGCCTAATTCAAATTTTTCTTTAAGGAAGACTCCTGTGCTCCAGACTGTATACCAGTTAAACAGTTAAATGTCCTCAACTAACAAATATGTCTGTGGTTTTCAACAGGGGCGCAGGAATACGGTGAGGCCGCCGCGTACATCCAGGCGCAGTTCGAAGCGAAGAACAAGTCAACCACTAAAGAGATCTACTGCCACATGACTTGCGCCACTGATACAAACAACATTCAATTCGTGTTCGACGCAGTCACAGATGTCATTATCGCCAATAATCTCCGTGGCTGCGGTCTCTATTAGGATAAATATTCCCGTCGCGGACTCGATCGACCGACACACATTCACACTCACACTCACACATATGAACACGACAGACATGTATTGCGAGAGCGAGGGAGCGTGTGAGAGTGAGAGACTGAGTGAAAGAGGGGGAGAGAGAGAGTGAAAGAGAATGAGCGAAAGGGAGAGAGAGCAAGATATACACCTATGTACCACCGCTAGCTACTACTACCGACCACCTGCGGATACCTTCTCGATTCTATTCTTTTTTTTTTTTTTTAATCAAACACCCTCACGTGCGACCCTTTCGATTTTTTTCCTCTCATGGTAATTGAGTGGAAGCGGAACCTGAAATTTATAACAGTGCTGTCCAAGCTGAACTATGCACTGTAGGCTGTTCCCTCTGGGGACTGATAAAAGATTGCAAGGTAAATATCAGTGAGTATGAATTGATTTTTGAATAGTCGTTGAACTAATAGCAGATTGTAAGAGATTTCAGTTGTGGGCAGCATTGAGAGTGCTTCTTTATTGGAGATGAATTCAATGTTTCAGGTCATGTAGATCCATGACCTGTTTAAGGGGCGAATTTAATCCTAAAATTGATTCATTATTAAAGAAACATTCTATATTTAAATGAGGGATATTGATTGAGGAGGATTTAGTGTTGTTTCCACTTTTCCTGAATACTGAACTAATCAGTAGGATTCAATTGGTTGTGATTTATAGAATTAACATACTTATAAAAGTTTAATTCTGATGTTAATTAATAGAATCTGACTGATCTATTATCCATAAAGACAGATTCTGAGAATTAGAATATTCAGTGACAATCAACTTTTATTTAAACATTTGAAGTGACTATTGTTTCAAGTTGTTTCAAGACTGAAGCCAATGTATTTTTAATGTATTTATAATTTAACAAACCGAAAGAATTGATAAGCAAGTTTCTTTGATAAAGCAAGAGACGAAGAACAACAACTTGATCCTCTGAGAATCGTGGATAGAAACTTAAGGAAAATATCGAAAGGGGATTCACAATGGTTGATCTAGATTTTTCATGAATTGCACAAAGACCAATCACACAACACATTTGGATCATCAGGTCCTTCATCTGGTTTTACTGTAAATTAAGAAGAAGAGATTCAATGAGACATGATAAACTCTTCACCCAGGTAGAAAATTGAACTAAAGTAATTTTTTTTATTGAAATAGGACATTCTCAAATATAAAGGAACTTAAGCAAAATAAAACAAAGTCAGCACACATATCTAGCACAAATAAAAGGCTGTCTTCATAGCTGCTACTTTAATTCATTCATATTTACTGTTTGTCCTTTAAAATTAATTTCAATTAAAATTAAAATTTGCACAGAACATCAATTACTAATTTTCTACCTGGGAGCATCATACGGACAATTTACAACATAATATATAGTTTTCTTTCTTACTTATATCGTAACAATATCGTTCAACGTTTTAGCTTTATTTAATGTACAATATGTTTATTGCTAATCATATCAGTCACGCACAAAGTATATTTTTACTTATTACATTTATGTTTTCAACTGGAGAATTCATAAATTCGTCGACGGTTGTTAAGATAACGTTAAGTTTATGATCAGCTCTTTTTAGATTGGAAGACTGAAGCAGAGACAGTATAAGAATCGTATAAAAAAAAAATTTCAAAATTAATGAGAAGAACAGAACGGTGAAAGCATAAAAGATTACCGTGCCTCGATGCGCCCAAAGGTCTCATGAAATTTTCATTCAACCCGCTTTGGAAACATTTCTGTTCAATCAATTCTGATGACTGAAATATTAAGAAGCTTCGCGAGCTTAAAAGGTTGGAGCAATTTCAAGCTTCCCGACTGAAGATAATTCAGGGTACAAGTATGTCTGAAAGAAGATTTCTGATTAATTTCTTTTACGTATATTATACATATTTCTGATTCGTGAAATGCACATTCGTACACTGTACGCACATTATCGCACAGTAATAGAAAATAACACACATGTACAGAATCTATATAATAACATATACTTTGAAATCTTTATATCACGAGGAAAAAAGAAAAGGGAAAAGGTTCCACTGTGAATACACTAGGATCCTTGAATTTCCAAATTTCAAATCATTTAGTTGACCTTAATAATTATGTTTTGGACATTTCTCTGGAGGATTTGTTTTTTATTTACTGAATCTTTGCTGGCTCTAAAAAGGAACATCAGTGCAGTTGAACAGCTACGATTGAAACATTCCACAAGCAAATGCAGTTTTCCGTTTGTTCCCCTTATTTATAAATAATTAACGCACATCTAATTTTTCTATTCAGTTTTTATAAACAGCTTGCTCTCTGTCATGGGATTGCAATTGTGGTTGAAAAGTGTATACTTTAACCATCTTAATTTTTTTAAGAAACTTTGCCAAAGGTACTTTATTCAATTTTTTAACTAACAAACTTTTCTTAATACTATAAATTTTCTATTTGTGTGTAGTGTGGTTTATTAAGATGTGAAGCATTTAAAGAATTCTTTTCTTTTTTTAAATAATTACAGTTGCAATTCCACTGCTACTGTAATGTAAAAATTAAATACAGAGAAGAGTGATCGACCAAAAAGAACCAAAGAATCGTAGAACAATAATTAAATTGTAAAAAACAAAAATCTTGAGAATAACAATTAATCCGAATTATGAATAGGATTTCCTATATTGAAAAGGCCAAAAAGAATTTTTTCGCTACTCTTTTCCTTTTTGTTTTTTTTTTTTTTTTTTTTTCTTTTAATCGCGAACACTAGACGAAGGGATTTTAAGTTTCTCCTGTGTTTCTTTTTTATATATGCCGATTTTGTGAATTATTTTTATATCGTTAGTTGAATCTAGGGGATAAATGAAAAAAAAAAAAATAATAAAATAGTATTACCGTCACCGCCGTTGCCATATTACTGTAAAAGTTAATATATATAAATCTTAGGGGTATTGATTATAATTAATTAAGTATTCCTATATGTAGTAGCCGTAATTATGTATAAATTAAGTACGTATATAGAATTTCTAGTCAAAATAGAGAAACGTACTAGTTCGTACAAAACAATACGATTGGGGAATCATTCATTTTTATTTAACGAGTAAATTGAGTCCAACTCAAATTTTACGATTAAGCCAAAAATAGGAAGTTTTGTATTTATAATGTTCAATCGTAAGTTAAAATATAAAGAATTCCAAAACGTTTAATTTTTTTTACAATTAAAAACTAATTTCGACGATTTTACCAAGGAAAAATTCATGATTGTAACGAGGCTGAAAACTGTGCAGTAAACTCTCGCTATATTGCCCCTTGTAATACTACCGGTCGAGCTAGTTCCCCTTCGCGCGGATCCACGCAGGCCGTCGCAGTATGTCAGTCACTATACGGAAGGGGCTTTTTATATATTGCCCGCTTCTCAATTTTTCGCTTCTGCGGCCCCGAAACCGGCAATATAGCGAGAGTTCATTGTAATTATAATGGACTAGGATAATGAATTAAACTGTTACAGCAGTGATTCCGTTGAAACTTGTTCATTCTTCGCGGCTCTTTTTCCCCAATCAGATTCACCTGAAGTTAAGTTTCCCTAGGGTGTTTCGAAGAAAGGAACGAAATTTCTAGAGCCATTTTTTGAAACAAACCCTTTCTTCTTTTTTTAATTCATTAATTTTTAATTAATTATTCTTCATTTTTATTTTTCTCATTTTTTAACTGAACTTCTTTTCTTCATTTATCGAACGTGAAATTCAGGGATTTGTAAGGAAAGAATTTTTGCACAAAAGAAAACATGTGTCTCGCCTTGCGACGTTTATCAATGACACTAAATTAATTTTGCGACACCGATAATACTTCTAAAATAAGTACGCATTTTTATTCTGATTTTTCGATTTGCAATTTTCAAACGAATTTCATTTCTGCACTCTAACCCGATCCTTCTTAACAGTACTTTAATAGAAATGTTCAATTTGCATTTAAAGAGGGTCCTGAGAGGATATGTTGTTAAATTGCACGTCGAAAAATTGTATCGCTCCTTCGATCATCGAGAGTTATTGATAAATTAACGAGAAAATATTTCCAAAATAAAAGAGAACGTTGTTAGTAGAAGTGAAAAAAAAGAAAATAATAACAAATTAATAACAAAACCGAAATAATATTTTTCACGAGGACTAAAGAGTAAAACTCTAATTACGAGAAATATCTAGTACGTAAAGAGAGTGATGTGTGCAAGAGAAAGAATGAAAAGGAGAGATGGCTCAGGAAAAAGAAAGAAACATGTTTTGATCGATGGAGAAAATATTTCTATCGACAGAGAATAGTGGGTAGGGAAGTAGATAAGCGAAATAGAAAAGTGGAAGAAGAAACGCTAGAAAAGAAAACTAATTGTCAGCTGCGACGTACGCCAAAATTAATTGTAATTTGGTATTTGAATTTGGCACCAGAGTTCCTGGGTGGGAGTAGGTGGCCGCGTGGTGGGGGTAGGCGGGACAAATGCGAGACTAACTAAAAAAAAAACACTAGTGTTATTATCGTAATTGTAACTGATTAAATGGTAACGATCATAATCTTATCGATAAACACTAAATGATAATAAGACGTGGATGAAAGAAAATGAGGGAAACAAAATGGGGGTTAAGGTTTTGCAATCATTGACGTGATGATTGTTAATAAATGATACGCCCAACAAAAAAAAAATAAATCGTTTCGTAAAATCATTCGTAGATTCGACGAATCAACGCCGTTTCTTTCTTACTTTTACCTTTTCATTCTTTTATCGTGAAGGAAACAAAAATACGAGAGGCAGAAAAGAATGAAAGAAAGAGAAAACGTAAGCAAGAGAGAGAATGAGTGAGAGAGAGACACAGGGAAGGGGGATTTTTCGGGGACGATAAAGGAAACGTTACGAGAGGAGAATGCTCTCTCATTATACATATATAAATATATATAATTATTATGTAATAATTGTCCATACATCTTGAAATGTCGAAATAAACGAACAAGTAAAGATGAGCAGTTTTTATTGCTGCACCATATATTTTTCGTATATGATGGATAGAAATAAATTTATTTTATATTTATAATTACGCCATGATGCGTCTAAATAATAGTTTAGTCGAAATTGTTCGGCATGATATCCAGTTCCATAAAATAACCATTCTCTCAATTAATTCTAAAATAAATGGTAGACTTTTGTTACATTATTGATGGTGTGTAAACGTTAATTATAATTTCCCTTCGATTCTAGTTATTAAAAATCGGTTAAAATCAACACAGCACCGAAAAATTATTGAAATAATCGCTTTATAAACTTGCATTTTAAAAAGAACGCCGCAAATTAAATATTTTTTTAATTAGATTCCAGCGCCATCTATACAAAAACGGCTGAAACTACTCAACAACTTACCGACTATGTTACCGATACTTATCGACTAGTTTCCGCAACTTATCGACAGATGGCGCTAGTGTTCTCTTTTTTGAAACCCCGATCGGTAAGTTGTTGAATAGTTTCCGCCGACTTTGTATAGATGGCGATACGGTCGCATTTGGTCCCCTCTCCCCTCTGGCGGGAGATTTAATTTCGCAATCAAATTATAATCAACGTATTAATTTGTGAATCAATTGGATAATATAAGAATAAGCATTTTTACATAGCGATTTTATTAAGCATTGAATATTAATTCTAATAAGCTGCTTGTAGTGCGAAGGCATAAATTCAAGATCCCTCGAAAACAAAGGGATGTCTAATCTTGTTGGACCTGTAGTCATTGGTATAAACGTAATAGCTGTCACAGGTTCTTGTGTCTTGCACATAAGTTACAGAAATATAAAAACAATTTGACCAAGAACATTGTCAGCTAAAATCATGGATTTGCTAGGATCTATCTTAAACTCAATGGACAAGCCTCCCACAGTCAGTGACAAGCAAAAGACACTTATGAAAAGTTAGTTGAAAGTTAACCTATATCGTAACCATTGCGAGCAATTATGTTAATATTTATGAAATGCCTTTTGCAATGTAGAGCAGAAAGAGGAGTATCAGAAGTATCAAAGGGCAGAAGCCGAAAGGTTAAAATCTTTTCGAGGAAAGGTTTGAATTTTCTGATCTGTCATCTTGTTTTACTATGAAAAGGTTATTACATAGACATTACTATTATTTCTCGTTGCTATAGGTAGAAGACAAAATTAACAAATTCCTTCAGGATGACAATGCAAAGGAATATAAGTTTCCTCCAATGGACCAAATCCATAGAAGTATAATGTACATAAGACAAATTATCATTTACATTATAAACAGTATAACAGTCAAGTATCTTTCATTACCATAGACACGACGTCGCCGAAGTGGCGAATGTATGGGCATATTCCTTCGGAGAGGAAGGCATCGATCGTCACATCGTGATTTTTAAGAGAGAACATGCTCCGTCCGAGGATCAACTGAACGTGTTACGTCGAGGAGAGGAATGGAACGAAGAGGTAGCGAACAAATTAGTAGAAGAAAGGGAAAGAAGAGCCAAAGAAGAGATAGAAATCGCGAAATCTAAAAAGCGAAAAGATAATTTCACCCCAAACAGTTATTATAAGGATAAATACCAACACTTGATTGGAAAAGAAGCTGCCTTAGAAGCAGCTAGAAAAACAGAAGCTAACAGCAGTTACGGATGCGGTAAGCAGATGGTTTTGGCTAATCTCTCCTCATGAATCATGATAAAATTTCTTTTCAGTTCCTAGTGAAAACAAAAAAGATCAACGAAGTATAGAGCAAACGTTAGCGGACATACGTGCTAAGAAAAGAAAATTAGAAGAAACCAAAGATTCCGAGTGTAAAGATAAGATTATAAAACAATGAGATATTATGAAATTTAATCAATGTTCCGATAGTCGTTTCCTTTTTGAATTGTAAATATTTTCCACTAGGTTTGCTAAAATGTAAAGGAAATACCATTTGTTCGTCATTTCTTGATTGTAATCTTTGCTTGTTCAACGCTAGTATTATTTTCTGTACCTGTGATAAAACACGAAAAAGAATTTTCTTCTTGTGAAATTCAGTACATGTATTTACTAAAAAGATCGAAATAACTTATAGGTATATACAATATAATACATCTGTCTCGTACGCATCTCAATTCAGTTAAATATATTCTGTGGTGGAATACTTAGGTATCGAAGTTCTGGGGGCAGATTTTGGTTTCGTCGGAGAGGAGGAATCAAACACAATCTGTTCCTTCAGAGCCAGTAATTTTTTGAAAGTTTGATTAGTTGCTGATTTATACAGCTCGAGTCCTCGCATGATCACCACGTCTCGAATATATGATGCGTTATCGTGTACTAGTTGCCTCTAAAAAGAAAACAAATATTTTTAACTACAACAATAACGATGGTATCAATGTAATTAATTAGCAAGAAATTCATTACCTCTTGTTTTAATTTCGGATTGGTGAGCGAGCCACATACATGTTGTACTTGAGCCCGCATTACCGATACTAAAACTCCGTCTATCGTGGCCATCAATTCTGGTGTAGCCACACTAAGACAATCTTCCAATAGACTCACGTAGAGTTTTGAGAAAGTTAAAGTGTTATTGGACAACTGTATCCAACAGTTGTTGGTCAGATAAGACGATGGAACGGTTACTCCAAGATCATCTAATTCTGATAATAATTTTTGAAGATTCTTGTTCGTTTCCAAATTTGTAGGTCGCCAAGTATCTTCAGCTACGTGTACCTTTACAATATCGACATATTTTTCTCCTGCATCCTGTATAGCTTTAGCTAACGGTGATCTGAGTTGGCCGTCTAATTGATAACGAAAATCCATTCCAAGTTGCGTTAACTAAAATCGAGTTAATAATATTAAATGTTAGATTATAATATTAAATGTTAGATCTTGATTAATTAGAGGCCATACCTGATCGCAGTGGCTTCGAACAGCAGCTATACATTCTACCAGTGTACTTAAGGACACTTGTGGGGTAAAAATTTGTTTAGTTAAATGTGTTGTCAAGTGTTTCACTTCTTGACTGCACCAAACGACCAGACCTAAATGTGCATACAAAAGAAGAAGAATAAATAAATTATTCCCCTGCGTTAAATTACGTTTACATTATTTTCAATTATTACCAGATGTACAATTTGTAGATTGAGGAAAAATTTTTAGGAATTCCTTCGCGATTTCCACGATATTGCTAAAGGCAATCGCGCTAAGCTGCTTCACGTAAGGCGAGATGGTCCCTTCTTTTTTCACCCGTTTCAAACGCGCTTTTAATACAGCACTGCACAGCCGTAAATACAGGTGACACGCTTGTGCGCTTCTGTTCAATTGTATCAGAAGTTTGACCACGCGACGCGCGCTTCTTAAACCTCCGCCTTGAAGCGACTTCGCTTCCACGCTCGACTCGAGTTCCTTCGTTAAAACGTCCACCAACGATTTCCCCCGATCGTTTACCTTCGACTGAATCTCGAGCAAGAGCGGTGTTACTTGTGAGTCTTTTAAATATGCTTTCGCCCTCTCCAAGAGGCTGTAAGCCTCCTCGAAGTGTCGTTGCGCTATGCAGGAATCCAAGTCCTCCGCGACTTCCAGCATCCATTCAGGCGGAGGCTCGTGGTACTCCGCGTCCTCCTCGTCTATACCTAGAAAATAATAACTGAAAAATTTAATTTAATTTAATTCGACTTAATTTCATTCAGTTTCCGGTTGCATTTAAGAAAACAAGGTGCCCCCTAATTGAGCTGATCTTTTTACCATAGATAGCCCTCGACCTGGCGATTCCAATGGTGGTCCCCCTTCCCCCATCCCAGGGGTCGAAAACTGAAATGATCCAAAAAGTGTTTTTCTGCACCGATCTCAGAGAGTACATCATCCGCCCCCCAAACTAACCTAACCTAAAATGATCCTACAAGTAATTCATAGGTTAGGTTAGTTTTTCTTTTTTTTGAAATGATGTACTCCCTGAGATCGGTGCAGAAAAACACTTTTTGGACCATTTCAGTTTTCGACCCCTGGGGCGGGGGAGGGGGGACCACCATTGGAATCGCCAGGTCAAAGGCTATCTATGGTAAAAAAATCAGCTCAATAAGGGGGTATCCCATTTTCTTAAATCCAACCCAGTTTCCTAATTACAACTGTTAGGCATACCCAGGGTGTTAGAGTCGAGGGACATTGATCTAGAAGGTACAGTTTTCTCCTCCTTCGAACGTTTATCATAATCTGCAGCGCCAGATGAATTATCCTCGGCTAATTTCATCTTCTTCGCTTGCTCGCATTTGTCCAACCAGTCTTTCTATAAAATAAACTGAATTACAAATCTCGTTCTCATGAATTGAATAAATGTTCTTGTTTTATAATACGCTAACTTTGCTTGTCGCGGTTGCACACTGGAACACTCTGGTGTCAGAGAACGCTAGAAGTTTAAAAGCCAATTTGACCGTGCCGAGATCTCTGATGTTAACGATGGCTAAACTTTCGAGATTGTATACAGCTTGCATTTTGTACTTTGGCGGTCCCCTTCTGTTACCGTTGGCTAACCAGGAGGCAATCATTAGAATGTCGTTGAATAAGTAGGCGTGGACTCTCTTCAATGGTGTCCCTTCAAATGGATCTAATTCCAGTAACGAACCTTCGTGTAAGCATACACGACCTGGTGTTTCCGCTAAACTCTGGCGATTTAAATAAAAAATTATCTGTTACACTGTATTCTTAGTTAAGATAATAAAAGCATTTCGATAATTTACCATTGCTCCTTCTACATTCTCAAGCAACTGTGTTAATTTTTGTCTCTGTTCTTCTTCTTTGCTAGTGGAATCATTTAGATTCTCCAATTGAGATTCAGAGGATTCTTCAAAAATGACACCAGTTGTTCTGGCAGATCCTAATGTAGTTAACAAAGAACGTTGCTCGCTTAATAACTGAGATAACTGGTACATCTCACTTTCTAAATGTGAGATTTCTTTGGCAGTTTCTATAAATTGCATATAATTCTGATAAACATTCCGCTTTAATTGAGCAGATGTATTATTAGCAAGCTCCTGTATCTTGGCTCTTTGCTGCCTTAATTCATCAGCTCCAACGCATTGCGCGCTAAGTTCTTTCACAACTGTAACAGATTAATCGGATTTGAAATTTTTGAATACATACATATATATAAACAAGCATCCTGTTTAAGGGAACATTATTACTTACACTTCTCAGGATTGAAATCTTCTCCTGTGAAGACTTTTGCTAAACTATCAGCCATTGTAGGAAAGTATTTATTACTTCCTAAACAAGTATTCTGTATTTGTTACTTAAACTAGCAGAGTTATGTATCAGTTGTGTGTCACGTTCAATTTCGTTTCATTTTTTTCAAATACTTCATAAATATCCTTTAGGTAATTAGCTATCATATAAATATTTAAATACATGTATTTGTGGTCACTTCAAACTCCACGTCAAGAGGAACGACGTTGACATTTCTCAGGGATTCCTACGAGATCATCATCGGTTTGCGATATCAATGTGTTACCACAGACGAGATGTAGAATAGACCTATCATTCAAGTACTTTTTAGAAACCCTCTACCATTTTCGAAGGGCCCACAACCGCCATCTTTAGCAAAGCCCACAACCATTTTCGTGTCGCGTCCTGTTTTATGGACCGAGATCAGCGTTACTGCGCATTTCATTTAAAACGCAGTTGGTAGAACGTGTAATTGGTAGTATTTCCTAACGTACTTCGCAGTTGTATAGTTACAGTTTTAAAATGAATGCACGAGTAGTGAAGCGAATCTAAAATAATACCACTTTTTTCGAGTGTTTCTAAATTACGTCGTTTTGCAGATACTCTATCAGATGATACTTTGAACATACGCGATCCAAGTTTCCTCAAACTGCTCGATACAGAAAGGAAAGCAGAACATTGAAATTTGGCGGCATCATAACCTTATGGTGACCTCAGTGGAAAGTTTATAAATGACTTTTTCATATTCAGTCTATTTTAATACCGCATGTAAAATATGAGAGAATTAGAAGAAGTAAACTGCGAGGTAATTTACGATCTTTCTTATCTTTTAAACAATGTCATATTCGAATTTAATAACAGCATTACTTTCCCGCAGATTCGCAATGTCATAGAGATTCAACAGTTTATGACAAGCTATTTAAGTAACATAGAAGGAGATGGCACTGGATCATTGAATGGTTCACAAATATGTAACGGTGTTGACGATGTTTATGGAGGTTTTTTAAACGATGCAGCATACGCTTGGCTCGGTTATGGTTGCCATTTAATAATACTGAATACAAAATCTGGTGAAAATTGTAGCTCCTGGACTTTCAGAGGGAGGATAACATGCGTTTGTCAATTCCCTGCTCACTCAGGAGAATTACCATTGCTTCTTGTTGGTTTGGACAATGAGGCGACTAGAACTAAAGACTCCATGGGCTTGTTATGCGTTTTTGATTGCACTACATCTCGTGTTTTGAGAGCTATAAGAGTATGTATCATTAAAATATTAGGAACAAAGCAAATATTCATGATATTTATATATCCGTGTAGATGCCTGCCGGTGTAGAACAAGTTTGCATTGTGTCTGGTGGAGCAGAGTGGGAAGAATTCAATGACAAAAGACCAGACAATATTCTCACGCAGATGGACGGTATAGCTTGTGTAGTTTTACGCAATCTTCATCATCTGATGATCGATCTACAGAGATCCTCCTGGGAAATACCTGAATCATCCGTTTTAATGGATGAAGTATCTCCAGCTGAGATTGAATTTATAACGACAAAGGATTCTTTTCATAGAAACCAGACGAATAAAAATAAACACATGGCTTGTAATTTATTAAATCGTCGTAAGTAGAATCCATTGATCATTTGTGTTTATTTATTACAATATACGGTCATTACATTTATGTATTTTTAGGCATAGAAACACACATAGGATTTAACAGAGAAGATTTCGAATCGAATGTTATTTTGGATGAAAAATTAACGACCAGTGTCATTAGTTCAACGAAAATCGGATGCTTGATATCAGGTTGCTTGGGCAGAGTAATAATATGGCAAAACGATGGTTCAGTAGGATGGATCAGCTCGCCCGTTGACGAGACTATGGTAGTAACTCAGTTAGCCTTGCTGGAACCAACCGACGACCCCAGACCATTTTACTACTTGTGGGTGGTCTTTCAAGATGACACGTTCAAGGTGCCTCCTCTCTTAAGAATGTATGCCTTATTGTTCGAGCGAAAGTACTCCGACAAACGAACGAATTTTTACTTTAATCTGGAAGCCGAGCCTTGCCTTAAATTCGAATTTAAATTAGACACAGCGGACAGAGTTGTCAGTTTATCCACGATCGAGAGGGAAACGAATCTGGATCAAACGGAATCCGAGTTCCGACGAAGCGAGGAGAGTTTGCTATTGATCTCAACTACTAATAGAACATTGTTATTCGATTTGAATCAGTGGTACAAGGAACAGATGCCGCAAACGATCAACGAATGCAAAAATCCGAACAGTATATTAGCTTGTTACGACACGAAACACAGACCGTCTAGCTCCAACAGAGACAAGATAATAAGCAGCACTTACGTGCTTAGGTCTCTGCAAGAGTTTCCAAATAACAATCTAAGCCTGTCGGAAGAGATATTCTATCCGAACTCTTTGTCCCTCGAATGGATAGAATTGAGCCTTACGAAATTAACATTTTGGTTGACCCGTGGTGTTCAGAATGAGTTGCTCCGTGAGATAGCTCTCACCGGGCCCATCATACTCACTCAGCCTTCAGAAATGTTTCACAAGTGTCTCTCGGTAGGTTTGATACCGTTCAACACAGAAGTATCCTTTTCCAGCGATCAGAACGTTCAAAGAGACATGATACTGTCGCTCTGCCTGGAGCAACGTTGGACGACCTTCTTAATAAAATGCGCCAAGGAATGGTCGGACGGCAGTGCAGCGTACATGTACCCAAATTTCCTGAAATGGGGCATACAACGTGCCTCCTCGATAAAACTGATCGCGGATCGCTTATGCGTTCCATTGTTCGATCAGTCCGGTAACAGCATAGGTGAGTCCGACGTGAAGACCTTAAGATTTTGTTACCAACAGTTGGAATGTCTGTCGAACGTGGTCGCGAAGTTGCCTTTCGAAACTAGCAGTCTGATGAAACAACGAAAAGCGCTTAAACGTGTATCCATGTATTTTCAAGTACTCCTCTGGTTCTACGACGTTGGTTTGTTGCCTGAGACCCAAAGCCTGGAGGAAGGTTCTCTACCGATCTCCCTCTCCTTGAAGATCCCTTATCCATTTGAGAAGCTGTACAATTTATACAAAGAAAAACGAGAGTCTATCAGGGATGATAATGAAACCGATGAAAACGTGAGAGTATTTTTTATAGATGAATTAATAACAAGGGAGTGTCCTGCGTTGAACTTGCAATGGGAGAAAGAAGCAGGAGACACGAATACCAATGGCAATTATCCTCCCCCTTCCTTACAATCATTACTCAGAAGTTATCTCACTGATTGTGATCAGGCAGAGTCAGACGAGATTGAATGCAAGCATCAGATCATCATATACCTATTGATGGACCTGGCTATGCTACTGCAAGGATCTTATCCTGGCGTTGATCAATTAATCAAGTACCCTTCTTCGTTCAAACTTAGCCCCAGTCTCATAAAACTCACCCAGGCATTCTGGTTACTGGATCACGAAGATTATCATGGTTTCCTGGACATGATGACTGGTCAACTGGTGCGCGACTCAGACGTCAAACCCTGGCACCATAAACTTGTACTTAGGACACTGATCAGGAACAATCAGCACAAATTAGCTCTGATGTATCTGCGCATAAAGAAACCTCCTCTGTCCTCCGTTCAGGAACAGAGCACACTGATAGGCCTGTCCGTGGAACACGGTCTGATACAATCTGCTTTTCATCACAGACCCCAGTCTCATTACGCGCAATTGTTAACCTGCTTTTTCCAAGCCTGTAAAACTTACAACAAGCTCAGCGACATTCTGCACTTGGCTCTGGACTCGGAGGAGGAGGAAATGTTCGTCAAGTTTCTGGAGGACACCAAGTCCGAGGATACGAGGTTGTTGTACTACCTACAACGCTGTCGTTACATGGAAGCTAACAATGGAAGGTCATTCGATACAAGGAACCTGCACACTGATATGCTGAACGCTTACAACGCGACGTTGCCTGATGTGGTGAAAAGATTCTCCATGAACATGGGGAAAACGAGTTTCGATACAGGCCTAGAGCCGAGGTATCCTAAACCGATGTCCCACACAAAAAATTCTCAGCAGATTACTAACATTTATGAGACTATGATCAGAAAGGCGAAGGAGACTTGTCCCAGAGGGGAGAGGTCTTTTATTCCTTTCGTCACGGCTCCTTGCACGTCACTGAGGTTGAACGATGATCGCATTAATATAAACTGTGTGGTGTCTCCGAAAGTCGTGCAGAAGAGTAGGAAACGCAGTTTTGATCGAACGATGGAGGACGAGGAGGACAGTGGAATGAGAACACCTGACAGGACTAAACGCAGGAAGCTGCTGGACGAGGGTGAAGCGGCCTTGAACGCTGCGTTTAGCACCCCGTTGGTGAAACGAAAGGTATCCAGCAGCAGAGACACGCCGTCTGAAACTCCACATTCTATCTTGAAGATTCGACAGCTTATAAGAAATTCGACTTCACCGACCATTGGGAGCTTGCAAGGGGATACGGTGGACGGTACAGAATCTGAAAGGAAACGAAAGATCAATAGGCAGATAAGGTTCAGTATTTCTCAATCAAAGAAAAATAACGCTCATGATGAAACCAATGCAGAAGAGGATGGCAGTAAGGTGAATGCGTCTGAAGGAAGCGACGAGGTGTCCCTTAGTCCAACGATAAATGAAAAGTCTCTTACTGAAAGTACAGTTCTGTCTGATAGTAGCTATACTTGTAAAAATGTATATACACCTCGTCCTAGACCCAGTCTTAGGAGAACTTACCTGCAAACGCCAACGGAGTCTATAAACGAGTCTAGGAAAAGAATATCTGCGAATTCTAATTTGAGTAATTCGTCTAATTTCGTGGAGAATTGTTCCAAACTCGCGTCAGAGGCAACGCCTCGCCTGTCCAGAACTTGTACAGAATTATTCTCTTCCTCTATTCATTCCTCAGCGGTACTCTCCCCGAATAGTAGCTTTGAGGTGGAAATTTCATTGAAGAGATCCCTGGAGAACAATTCACAGTTGTTAAAATTTTCCAAACAGCAGAATAATTATAATTCCATCAATTCAACTGTTTTAAGAAATAGTTCCAGATCTGAAGAACAATATAAAGTTGAAGAAGATAATGAGGTGCAGTGCACAGAGAATAGGTCTGAGAGTACAGAGAAATTGAATTTCCAATTTGGTGAGGATAATAGATCAAGGGAGGATGTGCTAAGTAAATGTAGAAATGGAGATCTTTCAAAGGCGAGAACTTTGGAAGCTGATAATGAGGAGAACGACCACGAGGAAGAATTCGAACACTTTTCTAACGCTACAGAAAATAAATCTGCACTTTCAGGGAGCAAAGAACGCTGGTCGGTTGGTAGGAAATTACAAAATCAATCTAGACAGGAGAATGAAAATTTGAACAATGGTGAACACTTTGGTGACATCACTGAGGATGAATCTTCAAAGAGCGGCGACGAAGATAAGGATAAAGAGAAAGATGGTTCACAGAAGATACAGATGAAGGGAGATAATATGTACGACGCATCGAACATCACGGATGATGAATCTGATTCCAGTACAGAAATAATTGAATCGAAGAGGAACAGTATTGCAATTTCCAATAAGCAGGAAAATGTAGATAAACTTTCTGATAAGAAGAAATATACGCGAGACGATGAAACAATTGAAAAGTCCATATGTCTTGATAATAATAATTCCAGTTATAGAGAAACAGTGGAAAAAGCAGTTCATGATTCACAGAAATCTGTGAATTTGAAGGATGATGTTAATACTTCTAATTTAGATAATGAATCCTTAGACACCAGTCAGAATATTACACCTAGAGTAACCAGATCACGTAGAGCTTCTTCGATAGCTAAAGAGATAAATATATCACCATTAAATTCGCCTACCAAGGTGATTGGAAAGACACCTAGATCAAGACGAGCCAGTTCATTAATGAAGGAGGTATTAATTGCATCCATTGCCCCAGCGGATGAGGAAGTCAGACAGACAGCTTCTTCTGGGTCAGAGGAATCATCACCGAAGAGAGGTAGAAGAAGAGCGACATCTGTAACGAAGGATGTTTCTGAGAAAGTGGAAGATGAAGAAGTTAAGGCACCAGTGGTGAGGAGAAGCACAAGGAGAGCTGCTTCTGTGCAAAAGGAACTGTCAGAATCAAACAAGCCATTAGCAAAGAATAGTAAGGTTTCCTTGTCCTCTGAGCCAATAATGGAAGATGAGAAAGAGAAGCTGCAGACAGAAACTAAAAAGACAAAAGCAAGACGAGGATCTGTGAGTGAAAGAAAACCAGGCACACCATCAAAGTCAATGAAAGAATCTAAATTAAATGAAGAGAAAGGAGAGGAAATGAATCTGAAGGCAACAAGGAAACATGGTAGTTCAGTGCCTAAGGAAGCGATGAGTGCAATAAGAACTAGAAGGTCTAGCAGCGTAGTTAAGGAAGATATTCCAGAGGATGTTGAATTATTAGAGAAAATAATGAAAGAACGACATGTGGTAGATGCAGCAGTGAATAGTCCTGCTGCAAATACACGTAGTCGAAGATTATCAATACAGTCCGTGCCAGAGGAGCTGGAGGAGGTCCTAAGCGTGCCATCAAAGGAGAGAGCAACCAAGTCCAAAGCTACAAAGCAGTCTGCGCAGACTTCCAGACAAAGAAGAGCTACAAGCGTTGAACCTTACCAAGCAGAGAGTAAAAGAATAACCAGAAGTACTCGTGGTAAGGATATTCTTAAGGAAGTTATAGTAGAAGAGGAGGTGCCACAAATGGACAGTCCTGGAAAGGCAGAAGCTTCTGGTGTTAAGAAAGTTCCTACAAAAAGAAAACGTACTTCTTCGACTACTGTTACCACTCAAGAAGATAAAGAAACAACGCCCAGATCAAGAAGAGGACGAAAAACAAAAAATCAAGGAATTAACGACCAGTTTTTGTTTTCACAACCAGACAAGCCAGGTGATTCACCGTTGGATGAAAAAGGTGAATTATAATAATTTCTTGAGTGTTTTTAATTATATTCAGACAAATTGTTAATACTATTGTTTGATATTTTTCAGCCATCGGAGAAGTACCAAAATATGTATTCTCACCTCCTCATACCAGGTCAAAAGCCATCGCTCCTGATTATCGTAGGTGGTTACTTTTCAATTGAATTAATTTGCTTTATCAGCAAAACTCCGCTTACTGCTTCTAGAAACTTTCTGCTCAACACTCTACGCAACACGTTCAACAAGAATTCAACGTTTACGTTTATTTTCTTTTAACGACAGTTAATAACATGCTAATTGTTCCATTAACAATTTTCAATGCATACACGTTTATTTCCTTTAGAGGCATTCTGTTGGATACTAATTTGTTCTTTTAATCATTTTCATGCAGCAGAATGAAAAACTTTATTCCAATATTGAACGAAGATGAAATAGAAGAAGAAGAGAAAGAAGAAGAACGACAGAGTCTACAGAAAAGCTCAAAGTATAAAAAAACAGGCCAATACACTCGTGTAACTACACATCGCTATAGAACGAAATTTGTACTACCCAAAAGATCAAAAAGTACATCAGATTAAACTTAATTTTTTGTATAAAATTTCTTTTTTTAACTCTTTTTTTTTTTTCTTCTGTTTAAACGTACTTTCAGTTTCACAATATCTCTATCAGATCTATGATAGATCCTGCACAGTGACATTTATTTCTGATGTATAGTGATAACATGTAAAAAAGAAATAGCTCGGCTTTTCGTATAATTTCGTTGCACAGCTAAAAATGAATTAGAAATTACGATGATATGGGACCATGTGGAATTAAACTTTTGTTATATCAGAAAAAGAAAGGTGCTAAGTTCATTAAGGCACAAGATCAATTTTTCTAAAATATGGTCATGGAAAGGAGCTTTTTCTTATGGATTTAATATATTCAGTATAATACCAGTTACAATAACTATATTTTATCAATAAGTAATCTCATATAATATTAATGCTTAAAATATATGCTAACGTGATCGTTTTCTGACAAGTATATTTTTAAAATTAACATGTTTTAATTGGAAAGATTATTTTGTATAATCTATAAATTTACATTATTCTCCACTTGTAGTTTGAATTTATGATTAACTGATATTCTTTTTAAGTTTCCAAACGTGTAGGCAGCTGTACAGAACAGAAATTTTCTTGATCTCTATTTTGGAAATATTCAAACAGGCAGGGTTTCAAAAACAATGTATTATATCGAACGAACGACTAGTACCATATTAACTGTAAATCATAAGGTCCGTTACTTTTATACAGGAATTTGCCAAATATAATATTTGTTACATTAATCAATTTCTTTCTTTTTTTTTTTTTTTTTTACAATAAGTTCATGAGATGAATTACTGTTGTACGGTGTGTTAACTTGTATGCGGTTTTCAATGAAAACATGTATTATAACTTTGTAAATAATTTATTAATATACCCATGTATAGCTGTATTCATACAATAAATGTAAAAAAGAATTAATACATACGGTCATTACAGAATAAATTTCCAATCACCATAAATAATAACTTGTTAAGCTTAAATACTGAAACAGTATTAAATAATACTACAAATGTATACATTTACATTTTCAATAGATTATATATATATATATCTTGATTATTGAACTTAAGATTAAGACAGTTAAAGCATCATAAAAATTATCGATACGCCTACACAATTCTTTGTCTTTGAACCATAACAAGACTGTTGAAAAAATCATTTAAATTATTATGTATTTAATATTTTTAATTAGCACGCATTTATAGTTTAGCATATTTTTTCATTGGATTTTATCTTTTTGCTAATACTTGATCTGGTACAAGTTTGTTATAAATGGTATCTTTGGCAGTAAGTTATTCGTTTGTTCTGCGCCTTAATTTAAAGAGAAAACGTACTTGCTTTAAAAAATCAAGCAAAAATTCATAGAAATATATTAAATCTATAATAAATTTCGTTTAGAGATTCATTTGATGTTTAGTCCAAATGATCAATCTTTGTACACGATTATTTATATAATATATATTTTATCATAATCCTGATTGTCTATTCTGTTAATTACTTCCCTATCTTTTCTCGCAAGCATCTTTCCATTAGCATTATACAACATCAACAGCAATATCATTTTTTAAGTTAAACATTAATATAGATTGTAGAAGGCAGTTCTAAGATGCAGGACGGTGCAATTTGATTATTCAAACTGTCTGTAAGATTGTCATGGAATCTTTTGATTTTCTTTTACACCGTACCCATTTTGAAAGGCACATTTATGTAACGCTGAAAAATATTGCTTTAGCTGAGATATGCTTCAGGTATAAATCTTAAACAGAACTTTCTTAACGTATAAACCTTAGTTTCACTGATACAAATACGATCCCTAAATAACTTACGGTAAGTAACTTATGTACTCTTTTCATGGCAACGAAAATATCCGTCAGTGAAAAATACTTATTATTAATAGAGGGACTTCATGCTAGCTTTTTACTGCTGTTTGCAGCTATCTTTCACACGGCGCTTATGTTTCTCTTCGTGAGTTTGGGACGGGGATTGAATTTGATTTCGTCGTTGTCCTTGTATAGGCATGTAACATGGAGCATCATCGTTCATAAGCTCCGGTGGTGGTGTTGGTAACGCATGCGTTGGGCTCACAGTGCTGCTCGAACTACTAGAAGTATTTCGATGTAAGTTTCCATTGTACGTAGGGTCGATGATAGCAGCAACGTTAGGTACTTCTCTCATATTTTCCACAGACTCGTCCAACGTTTGTATCTCCTCAGGATCTGAATAATGGGGATAATTTTGCGTATGCTGCACTCTACTCTTGCTTTGTCCATTCTTTAAATCAAGCTTATCCGGTCTCTGAGGCTTCTCCGAGGGATTCTGATCATCGAGTTCCTGAAGCTGTTGGCGTTCCAACTTTCTCTGTTTCGCTCTCTGCCTTGCTTTCCTCGCTTTCATACGTTCCTTCTCCTGAAGCATGCGCGCCAATTCAGCATCCTGTGCTTCCATCGCAATTTTTTGATCCAGTAACAACTGCTCGTTGACTGGTCCATCGTGAGTATCTACAGCTTTCTCTTCCTCTTCCAGCTGTAATTTTCTTGCCAACTCCTTTAATCAAGGAACAAATTAAATTAATGAATGTTGTGCTTGGAAAATTATCACAGATGCTTTCGTTCATTCTGAGAAATACCTCGTCCTTTTCTTCTTGGATATGGCGATTAATTTCGAGCTGAGCAGCCTCGTCGTCCAATCTCAATTGCAACCTCATTTGTTCCTGCAATTCCCGTTCCTTTTTCCTCTCTTCTCGTTCCAGAGATAGCGCTATTTGTTTTGCAACAAGAGCATCTCTTTCTTCTCTAAAACATGAAACACTTTGATGAAACTTATAACGGAACGAAAGTGCAATACAATAGAGGGCTTATATACTAACTGCTGTTGAACATAGGATTGATATCTGAGCGTTTCTAATTCTTGCTCGACTCGTGCTCTCGGTAAGTCCTCCCTTACTTGCGCATTGCGAACCTTATTACCCGTGTAATGCTCTTTGACTGTGAATCAGCATGTTAAAGTCTAGAGTTTGAATAAAATTGATTTATAGAAATACTTGAAAATTCTTACTTTCTTCGTCTTGAAGACGATACGCAAGTGCTCCGTCTTCGTGCACTAGCCATTCACGACACACTATAGAAAAATAACAAATACCATTAGACATGTCAGCCGAATGAGTAATTCTAATTAAGAATGACAGCAGGTCTTTAAAAGAATGACTTTTATACCTTCGTTTACTCGTCCCGCCTTCGGTAATGTATCCGAGCTCAGCACGGATTTCGCCATCTCGTAGTAAATCTTCGTTGTCTTTGGCAGAAAAGCGTTTCCTTTGCCCAACTTTCTTGTTTACAACCACCTTACGGAAATCGTAGTACGCTGCTTTCTCTCCATCTTGAATTGCTGCGAACAGTGAATGCAGACTCAACAAGCCTAGAACAAGACCGACTGACGCGCTGTAGCGCGAAGCGACTGACTTGTAAGTCGAATTTTCGAAAGTAGTGTATTGTAGATAAAATATTTACAATTTCTCATTAATAAAATAAGCTTTTAATGACCAATTGACTGTTATTTTACCCCCCTTCATGAGCCTCAGTTCACCCATCCCAGTTATTTATTATTTTTCTGTCTTTGTGGGCCTCACTGAGCCCAAGCATATGTTCCTCATATCCCAGCATCCTTAACATCTCTGCATCCCTTACATCGCTGCATTCTTTTCATCCCTACATTCTTTTCATCCCTACACTCTTTTCATTCCTACATTCTGTTCATCCCTACATTCTTTTCATCCCTACGTTCTTTTCATCCCTACATTCTTTTCATCCCTACATTCTTATTATCCCTACATTCTTTCCATTCCTACACTCTTTTCATCCCTACATTCTTTTCATCCCTACATCCCCTTCATTCCTACATTCTTTTCATCCCTACATTCCTTACATCCCTGCATTCCTTATAATAAATATATTATAAAGGCGGCTTCGAGCAAAGGTAAGTAAAGGTAAGTTAGTTCCTTTTTTCGACACCAGATGGCGCTGATCCGACATCGAGATTTTAGTTCACATTTTTGCCGCTAGAGGGCCAGAAATGGAGCATGGTTTAGTTCCTTTTTTCGACACCAGATGGCGCTGATCCGACATCGAGGTTTTAGTTCACATTTTTGCCGCCAGAGGGCCAGAAATGGAGCGAGGTTTAGTTCCTTTTTTCGACACCAGATGGCGCTGATCCGACATCGAGGTTTTGGTTCGCATTTTTGCCGCTAGAGGGCGCTATTTTCGAGAATTTCGCGAAAATTAACTTACCTTTACTTACCTTTACTCGAAGCAGTCTTTATAATATATTTATTATAAGGGTTGCAGGGATGCAAGGAATGTAGGGATGAAAAAAATGTAGGGATGAAAGGGATGTAGGGATGAAAAGAATGTAAGGATGAAGGGGATGTAGGGATGAAAAGAATGTAGGGATGAACAGAATGTAGAAATGAAAAGAGTGTAGGGATGAAAAGAATGTAGGGATGAAAAGAATGCAGAGATGTAAGGGATGCAGAGATGTTAGGAATGCAGTGATATAAGGGTGCAGAGATATAGTGGAACCAGAGATATAAATGGTGCGGAGGGAAATATTAAAATCAACATGTTTGTCCTAAGGAGTTTATTCAATAAGCTAAGAAGATAATTACAGCAAATTAAATGAGCGCAGAAAATAAAATAAGGGTAGAGAGAGCCACCGATGCACCGGGGTCCTTTACACCCCGGATTCCGTAATGTCGGTATACTACGAATGTCAGCGTGCTTCGGGGTCTCTAACACCCCAAGATGATATGTCGGTATACAAAAAGACTTGCCTGCGCTCCGGGGTCCCTGAAACCCCAAGATGATATGTCGATATACAGAAAGGCTTGCCTGTGCTCCGGGGTCCCTGAAACCCCAAGATGCTATGAGAGCTGTATGCAGAGCGCCATCGATGCATTGGGGTCCCCGACACCCCAAGATGTTTTCAGATCTGTATGCAGAGAGCGCCACCGATGCATCGGGGTCCCTAACACCCCAAAATGATATATCAATGTAATAACCTCTCGAAAACAAAGGCATGTACTGCCGTAATTTAAATACTCAATCATTAGCAAAACATGAAATACAAGTTGTTTTATTATTTACTGTCATTTTCCCGATACAAAATATAGTGAGAATTCTGAAATCTCGCTAACACGAAATAATCGGAGAATTCTCGTAGAATTATGATTTGTTACATATATTTACATGTTAAGAACAAGTAAGGAGTGAGGTTAGGAAACGTAAAGTTAGAAAACAGTAAGATCAGTTTAATAGCGATGATAAATTCTTTCCACAAGAGAGAAACTTAAGCAAGTTTTAATAAAATGTTGTCCTACGATGGAAAACTAAGTTTATTTTGTTTCACTGCGGCTGCGGTAATCGCAGTCCTACCTGAAATAGTTTTGAGGTTAGAGTTCGATATTCCTGATGCATATTTCAGTAATATCTGGCTTACCCACCTTTTTCAATACGGGGTTTTAAACTTACTCTTGATTCTTGCCTTCCGAGGCTTTTCTTATCAGGTAATTTATGTTACATCATATATTTTTTAAGGTTATGGACATAATGATCAACACCTATACTTATTACAGGTTGCAGTAAGAGCGGCTTTTCTAGGATATGTTTTTGGTACTGGAATCATAGTAGCATTTGTTGCACCACCATCATGGCAAATGTTTGGTGTATACATTACTGTATTGGCCACATTTCATTACACAGAATTCTTAAGCATAGCTTGGATAAATCCATCTACCCTATCTATTGATAGCTTTATCTTAAATGACAGTGTAGCTTATGGAGTAGCAGCATGCTCTGGCTGGATGGAGTTTATTACCGAAAGACATTATTTTCCAACAATGAAGGAATCTTCATTTATATCGTACCTCGGATTGATATTATGCATCGGTGGAGAAATTTTAAGGAAGTCAGCAATGTTCACGGCGAAACATAATTTTAATCATATTGTACAAAGTGAGAAGATGGAGAACCATGAATTGGTTACCTGTGGAGTATACAGACTTTGTAGGCATCCTAGTTATGTAGGCTGGTTTTATTGGTCTATTGGAACACAGGTAATTTCTTTTAGGAATAACATTTTAAATTAAGGATACAAGAGAGGAACATTGAAACAATTTTTGTATCTTTATTTTTCAGTTGATACTTCAGAATCCATTTTGCCTTTTGGCATATGCAGTAGCATCTTGGAAGTTTTTCCACGATCGCATTTTATTCGAAGAAATTACTTTGCTTAATTTCTTTGGAGAGGAGTATATCGAATATCAGAAAAGAGTGGGTACAGGACTACCGTTCATATCTGGTTACAAAGTCAATTTATAGCAGCCGGTATCCGTCTGAACGATAACTTTTAAATAATGTTTTATTAAATTTTTCTATCAATATTTGATAGATATTAATTTCTCAGGTGTAACAGAACGGACTTATTTATACCAGCTTTGTTTTGTATATTATTTCTTACAAGGATATACTTTTTCTGTTAATCATGAAATGGTAATTAAACAGCGTTCTTAACAAAATTATATTTATTGTCTCATTTCACTTTGAAGAATTATTCATGTAACAATAGACTACACTTTCATGTTACGTTAGATACTTTCAATTGACGATTATACATTTCTTTTTGTTCTTTTATATTTATGTTTATATACACATATAAGCTTACATTAAAGCTTATACATAAAACATTCAGAAAGCATTTGTTCGATGTTGGATAATAAGAAGGTGCTAGGTCGAAGCAATGTACTTACAATTGTATATAGTAAATTTCTGTACACAGTCATTTACAATATATTGATAAAGTTTTGATATATGTTTTAAAAAATTCTATGCGGGTATTAACATGTTTATCTTCTATGAAATTAAAGAATATATATTGAAGTTAAAAGATAAAAATTCGCGAATATACATGTTATCGGGCTACGAAAAGAAATGAATGAACGGTCTAGCTGTTATTATTGTGCATTGAATTCGAGTCTTTCTTGTTCATTGATTCGTCAATTCATTTGCCCTATAAAAGTGTTCACGATAATTGCATTTGTAATTGACAGCAAATCATTTAACAAATAAACGCATGAATATAAAGTACATTTTTATGAATGAATTTGTAACATAAACGCTACCCTGTAATGTCAATCTAATGAACAATAAAATGATCTGTAAAAGTTCCATCTAAATATTGTATATGTTCATCTATCCATTATTATTTCATCCTTACTGCCAAACTATCAGTATTACTATGCCCTTTCTTAAGAAATAGCGATTACAGATAATGTAAGAAAATGCCAATACCGCAAGACTAATTATAAATATTTACATATGTTCTTTTGTCACAGTGTATGTATATATTGGATACAAATTTTATTATTAACTAGCAACACATTTTACTAGCACCGACCTTAATTATGCAAATATCTCATTAAGTAACTTTCATCAGTATCACATAAATGGAGTTCAAACTGTTTTGATCAGAAATAGAACCGTCGTTGAACTTATTGTAACGTGCCTGTAATATTTAATAAATATTGGGCCTTTGTTCAATTACCAATATAATCATAACAATTAACAAGTTCTATATAAATAGGCCCCATTTCTTTTTTTATCACCAAAGCAATTATGACTAGATTAAACTACTAAAGTATTTTTATTTAGTTTGAAGATTAGAAAAATTAGGAGCCTAACAAATGAAACAATGGCAGTGAAAACTTATATATGATTTGATATAACAGTATTGTATTCCTCTGCAGTCGCCTCAGTGTTCTATGGCAGTTAACATGAAAAGAAGAAATTGAACCAAATGATTGATAAAGAATACATGCCCCAGAAAATGATTGTTCTATATAAATGAAATCAGTATTGTTTTCTTTTTTTTATACACTGTAAAAACGAAGTCGTATAAAATGTAGTTGACTCGGTTATAAAACGTTAATATCAATGGTGTTTGTATCATGTTGTTGGGAATACATTTTGTATATCTACAAATATAAAACTGCTTACATATGTATTTAACGCGGTACTTTCACATCGTGGGCAATAATTACCATTCGAGTTAGCATTTTCAGAAGAACTCCACACCGTTTATGATTAGCTAGGGAAACTTATTAATAAAACGTTCCAAGATCTCCACGCGTTGGAAGTTTCTCATCCAAATTTCTATAAAATGGAAGAGTAAAATTAATCATTAAAATTTCAAAATCTTCGTTCGTTCTATAATTAAAAAATTAAGATATGTTTGAAGAAAGATAAAAAAAACTTTGTACAGTATTTGAAAATAATTTTCAAATAAAACCGTAAACAATTTACCTTGCTCCCAACGTCAACAAAGCATCAAATACTTTACAAATTTAATAATTACATCAGTTATTGATAAGTTCCTAGGAATACGTATTTCTTCATTTTGTTCGTAGGTACATTTAAGCCATGAAGAAAAACGCAGTCAGCGGACGCTACGCGACAAGAAACACTTAACTTAATATACATTTGATCGCGTTTACAATGTCTATGCATAATACTGTAAAAAGTACACTCTGTTCTCGAATATCCATAGCAAAGGCGAGCAGATTTTGGAGTAGGATTAATAATGAATAATGTTTGATGTTATAAGCAGCCAAATTGACTGCTGGCTTTGGATGGATGATATTGACAGGGGGCGGTGGTACAAATGCATCAAAAATGTCTGTGTCTGCATTCGTGAATACCAAGGAAGAAGGAATCCATCTTGCTCTGAGCAGCATGAAAAATTACCACCTCATCTTAGTACATCCAATATACTAACAACTGTTTTAATAATGTTTCTTTTTTATTATTTACCTGGTGCATGGAGAAACATTCTTTCCCCTGATGGCTTTTTCCCCAATGTCAATTGCTCCAGAATCTTGTACCTCCATGGTGTATATACAACCAGAGAATCCTTCTTGATATTTCCCATAAGTCATGGCATAATCAGGCACTCCACCCAGATAAACACTGCCCCTGGTATTCAATTCCTGCTGCGTTCCATAACTGGAACCACTCTCCATGTGTTCACCATTTAATTCAATACTACCATCGCTACCCTGTCGCTTAAGGATTATTCTATGTCTCTCTCCATCGTCTACCTTTTGAGCTGTGACACGAATCACCACTGGACCAGTGCCCAAGTTGTACTGATACTCTACATAACTGAAAGTATACATAATTAAGAAATGCTCCTTGAACATTTGATTAAAGTAAGGATAGCTACCCATCCACCACTGCAAGAGACATATAATGATCAGGATTCAGATCGTTCTGTGTCTGTCCATGCCACATGATCAATCCCTGAGTCTTATTTGTTGAAATCTCAAAGCCTAAGACTTCACGCTCCTCTTCATGTGTCATCACAGACCTATCCAATTCCAACCAACCGTCTCCTCTAAATGTAACATCATAGGTTATTTCTGCCACTGAAAAACGAGCCAAATCCATTAGAAATATATTTCAATCTTTCATCCAGATGCCTTGATATAATTACATTTTTCACAGTTCTGTCCATTGTAACCCAGTCGACAATCACACTTGTACGACCCATGAAGATCAGTGCACGTTCCACCGTTTCTGCAGGGTAAAAGCAGCTCGCATTGTTTCAGAATATTCTCACAATTTCTACCCACATAGCCGTATTCACAGGTGCAGGAGTAGTCATAGAAATCAGTGCTCTGGCATGCTCCATGAATGCATGGATTTGATGCACATGGGTCATAGGGTGTAGTGGTGGATGGTGGAGTAGTGACAATGGGGGTCAACTTAGTTTGATTAGGATGTAACACGTTGCAGTCATCTATGTTTGCTGAGTCTATCGCTGACTTCAATATGTCCACGTTCAAAGAAGACACTCCCAACTAAAAATTTAATGGAATGTTTATTATTATAGAAATTCATTTAGCTGTTGGCTTCTTATAAGAACTTACATCACTGATGCAACCACGAAAGGCATGATTCACGCTAACATTTCTATTCACTATGATTCTTCTGCGATCAACTCCTCCAATGTACAGGGGTGTATTAAGCGTCATTGTGCGAGAGGGTCCTGGGGATTTACCTGTTACAGTAGGTTCTCCGTTTACTGTTAAATTGCCTTCTTTATAGTCTCTGGTTATTGACACGTGTGTCCAGACCCCAGGTTGAAGGATGTGATTTGATTTGATGATTGCTACACCAGAACCAATGTCATACCGAAATTCAATGCGTCTGTTTTTGACAGTAAGTGCCACAAAGTCTCCTAGTCCCTCGTCGCTTTGGGAACAGTATATCAGTATCCCATCTCTGTCGTCCAAAGGGTTGAAGTTCAATGCCACTCTCAACCTGCAATAAAATAGAACATGTTAAAATAATGTAAGATTTATAGAAATGACTTGCTGTTAGGTGGGAGAAATGTTACTACAAGTAGGAGAATGTGAGGAGAAAAATAAAATGTTCTGTTTCATAACTTACCATTCTGATGATTATAAACTATGAAAAGATGGTAAATGTTTGATGTAAAACCAATTCTTGTTAAATCAATTTTATTTGCATCTCAAGACATATATTTATACTTATAGCATTGCTCGAAGCCCGTCGAATACATATAAATGGTCATTCTGGTCCTAAAAATACACCTCCTCGGCACATACACACACAGGTTCTTAGAAAATAAGTACAAACATTTTACACGTGCCGTTGCGCGTGTGTGTACGTGTACGGTGTGTTGATACAATAATTAAAATGACTAACATAATGCGTTAAATGTATTATTCAAGAAAAGCTGTACAAAGAAACCCTTTGCAATCTTGGAAGCATTCAAGTGAAAATGTTACAAAAGAGAGCCCTGCGAGCAGAAGTCCTTCCTCGAACACCATGGATTCCGGAAAGGAATTTTTCATATTATAATTTCATTTTTTGACTGCAAAGGGTTGTGATATAATAGCTATTGATAATCTAATATTACAGCACCATGAGGTTCATTCCAAGGAACTACTCACTCTACAGGCTCTGCGATGGCCTATGCATCCAACGTAATCTATTACACGTATGAGGCAGAAATGAAAACATCTAATAGTAAATAAAATTCTTATAAAAAAAAAATAATATATATATATAACATATATGTTGACTGACAACTATAAATAGCAGTTACACAAAAAATTGATTTGTTCCTACGACTATTACACATCGATCGAACAATACATAAATGACTTGTTTCTATTTATGTGCATAGAAATTTGGTGGTGAAGGGACTAATGTTTTGTGTGGTGCATCTTATTATGGTCATGAGGCCTCGACCGTGCCTTTCTAACTTGTGCGTTGCGTGCTCGTAATCTATTGTGTGTATAGCTTGGGTTCATTCTCGTCCTGAAAATAATTTCTCCAATTAAAATTAACAATTTTCCATCGAACATTGGTTAGTTCCCTAAGCACTTAAATTTCAGAATCCCCTGAATTATCAAGTATTATTCGACACATTGTGTTAACAAGACAATTATATAAAACTCAACAATTTTCTACTAACAAAGAGAAAAGGATGAAAAATATATGTGTACATTGTAAATAAAATAAAAAAGTGAACTACATCTACAACATCTAGGAAGCATGCAGATGATTTTTCATGTACAGATACTTACCGTCTAAGAGCTTTGGGCGTTTCATGCGCGACGAAAGACTTGTCGTCGTGAAAAGCTGGCTCGTAAATCGTCAGTGAATGTTCGCATCGAGATCCAGTTTTTCCATGGGGGCAATAACATTCGAAACCCGTTTCTTTATCTACACACGTACCTTCTCCGCAAGCACCTGTATCAAATCAACTTCATCAGTGTAGTCTTTCAACGAGACAATGTTCCTTTAATTATACAAAAAATAAATAATCATTTTTACCTGGATAACACGACTGGCCAACGTAGTCACAGTGTTTTCCACTGTAACCAGCGCGGCACAAACACGTGTATCCATTCTTGGTAGCAGCCTCCTGGCACACACCAGCATTGTTGCATGGATTTTCAGCGCAGGTCTCGCAATTTGTGATTCCAACGCTGTTCGTTTGATCATCGATCAGGTCGATCTCCTTCTCTCCTATCACCAGTCTGCTGATGCATCCAACGAAACCGCTAGTGATCTCAGCGTATTTGTTGACAGTGTTGTCACTGGGGACGCCGCCGACGAACAATAGCGCTTTCAAATCCAAGCCTTGCTTTCTGCCAGCTGCAACACCCTTGAAAGGACCTTCGCCGTCGACTAACATAGTTCCTTCTTTGCGATTACGTTGGAGTTTGATCGTGTGCCATTCGCTTAACGTGACGGACTTCTCTGCACGGATGATAGTCGGTCCAGAGCCAAGATCAAAGCTGAAATGAAGATTTTAATTTAACCCTTTGAGGTCGAGGACTTTTCCAGGTGTACTATTCCCAAATAGGAAAATATACCCAGTGGCGGTATTATTTTTTACCGACAATTGACCTAGCGAATAGAAATGTGATGTCGCTTTTATAGCGACATTCGACCGCAAAGGGTTAATATTCATTTCTGAACAGTTGAAAACCTTTGGTTCTACATTTGAAAGTTAATTGCTTGATCTGGAAGGCAACTGATCATTTAACACTGACCTGAACACTGGGTACCCTCCGACCAAGGATAACAAGATGAAGTCACCATTTCCACGATTCGACTCGTCGTTGTACAAAATGATACCGTCATAGCTCTCAGGTTTAAACGATATTTCAATGTTGAATTTTAAGTAGGAATCAGGCAGAGGTGGTAAGGCAATGAAACTCTCAGGAGCTTGGCTGAAGTATGGGACCACACCGGTTACCACAAGTACTGTGGGTATTTCAATGTTCTCGAGATTATTGGTCGCAGTGCAAACGTACGTTCCAGCATCCTCTGCTTTCACATTGATTAATTTCAATTTATTCTGTTGAAGAAAACCCCAAAAATTTAGTATATTCATAAAATGGAAATTTCTTTAATCATCTTGATATTATTTTTCATTAGTGCACCTCAAAAATTTGTGCATCGCGTGGGAGGAGTCCTCCAAGTTTACTCCAGTGGAATTTCAGTGGTGGATTCAAGTTGGGTTTACAATCCATCTCCAGGCTGGATCCATAAGGTGCATACTTGGTCTCGATAGCTGGTGCATCATTATTTCCATCTAAAAATAAACAACATTCAATATCCTCTTCGTTCCTCTACTTAGGATCTATTAAATACTCACAATAAATCACAATTTTTATAAGCATGAAAAAAGGATTTTCTCAGTTTAAACAGTTCATTATGGTATACAGGAAGAAAATTTCAGTCTGAACATTACCATGGACGACGAGATTGAAATCGTGGTCAAAAACTCCTTCAGGCGTGTCTGCGATGCACCTGTACACCCCACTGTCGCTGACAGCGACGTTGGTTAATCTAAGAACGTTTCCATATTCCTGGGCATTTTCTGGTAAACTAGGATGATTCGGTCTGACCCAATGGTAACGAGGGTTGTGCGTTCCAGAGCAGGCGCAACGAATGTTCACGGTGTCTCCGATGTTCACTGGGTTCTGGGAGGCTTCCACGCTAACCGCAGGTGTGACGGTGGCTAAAATGAGAAAATTTGAGTCAGTTGGCGGTATTAAGAAACGTTTCGCAGACGCATAAACGTGGACCCTTCTCCATTACATTACTTCCTATGACATTGAATTCCAAGGTACACCTATCAACTCCTGTATCTCAACGATGCAGAAGTTTTAGGATATAATGAAAACGAATGACAGCAGATGATTGTATACCATTTGGAGTACGAGGGAGTAGACTATGCTACAGAGCAACGAACACACGTGGGACACGTCCTGGAACTATGAGATCAAATAGCTTGAAATTAAACTACGATGCAAGGACATTTACAATACCTGTGTTTATAAATTATCTGGCGGGACAATCACTTTTTTTAGTATTTGGTACTAAGATGTTTGAGGCAAGAGAACATTGATGAATTAAGAAATGGTAGGTGATAAGCGTTAATCATTTTAGATAGACGTCACATCAGGTACACATAATTTATCTGAAAACAAACCACGTCGTTGTTGAAGATAGTGACGGTTTTGCGGGGTGTTGTAGTAGTTGTCACCGATATCGTTGTAGTAGCGAATATAGACGTTGCAAAGGTAATCCAACAGAAAGCATCCTTGAACGTTGCATATGCACTTGCTTTCGCTGCACTGGGTTCGGTTCGCTCGCGAGCATTCCGTGTGCAAATTAACTACTAAATAATAACGCGACCACTTTATAAATAAACTATGTCTCGTCTGAGTATCGGTGAATGACTGAACGAGATGTGATGATTACTATTCGCACGAGTGTGTCATTTTACTTTAATCATCTACTTCATACGGATTAATAGAATAAAAGAAATCAATTGAAAATGTGGTAAATAATTGAAGAAAAAAGACAATTATATTTCCTTACTTCTTCTTCTCCTATCATCTAATGCTATAAAAATTGAAAAAAACTTTCATCTGAAAGGATGCAACGTGTGGGAAGAAGTTTCAGAGAAATTAGTTTATCAAACTGTGTGAGGTGAATTAAGACAATGACAGGCATTCGCTTTTATATAGGTAACATGCATTGAACTTACGTGAGACATTCAAGTTTATATAATCGCTAGAGACTCCGTGTACAGTTTGAATCTGACAAATGTATCTTCCACTGTCCTCTGGTCTGGCTCGAGGCAGTTCCAAATAATCATCTTCTATCCTGGCAGTCGAAGGTAATGGTTGACCGTCTCTGCTCCAATGTATGGTTGCTCTTACGTTAACCGTGCACCGTAGACGTACAGGCTGACCAGCATAAGTCACCACATCTCTTTGGGCTGCATGGACAACACTACTTTCGTCGAAAGGATGTTCTATAAAAAATGAATAGCATTAATGGTGTTTAAGGTGTGCTCCATGAGATATATGACAACTTTCAAATTGTGTTCATACCATTCACCAGAACCTCAGCCACAGCCTCAGCAGTTCCTGCATCGTTTGTAGCTGTGCAGACATACTTCCCAGCATCGGAATAAGTAATTCCATGGAACTGTAAGACTCCACGGTCCTGGGTGACCGAAGAAGGAAGGTTACGTCCTATGGCGGCCCATTGGATGGTCATCGGTTCGTCCCCTGTCGTGCTGCAGTCTATGGAAGGATTTTCACCGGCACGGACCGTCTGGCGGGGTGGATTCAACACTATTCTAGGTGGTGCTGAAAATGTTATAAGCCATCATAAAATCATAAGAGAATTAGCAAATTTTTAGGGGTCAATGATCTAACTTATGGATCAACCCTTTTCTAAATACATAGTCAAATATGGATCATCTTACAGAGTACTTCAAGATGAGACTTGGCCCTGAACAGAACATTGCGAGCCTGGTCCATGCCCAGGCAAACGTATTCTCCAGCAGCGCTTTTGTCAGCTACTGGAATGTTCAGTATTCCATTGTGAACCGTGCTACCTTCTGGCAGAGGTCTATGGTCGGTTCTCTTCCAGTCTAGATAGATATGGTTTCCATCGGACGAGCGAACGTAACAACGCATCTCCACTTTGCCACCGCTGGGAATCTTGAAGTAATCCTTCGGTACCGTGATCTTCTGGTCGTCTGGATTTTCCTGTCACAAAAATATCAAACGTTATTTCACAAGAAACCATTGCGATCTCACATAGCTGTGTGGTAAACGCACAGGTTTATCGGGACCAGGATACTCATCCGGAGAATAAACCTCGTTGTCTTCCACGCGTATGTAAACGCGTTCTTCAACCATTCCTGCGGCATTGTTAGCGTGGCAGGTGTACGAGCCTTCGTCGTCGGGGGAGGCAGAGTTTATTTCATATACAGCTTCCAAAGGTGTCGCAGCTTCTGATGATAAATAGAACGGAGTCCTACTGCAAGAGACAAAAGCATTTCTTATCCAACTGCTGAATTTTTCATTGTTGTCTTCAGGAAAGGAACTTACAAGTCTATTCGATTCTGGTGTTTGACCCACGCGACCCTAGGCTGTGGATAACCCGACGACCTGCAAATCAATTTCACTCTGTCCCCTCGTTTCACTTGGAGAATTCCAGACCTGGGTGAAATCATGATAACAGGGACAGATTGAACCTCGATGTAAACCACCGCTGTGTTCGAACCAACGGGATTCACTGCCGAGCAAACGTAGGCACCGCCGTCGTTCGCTGTGATGTTCGACAGCCGGAGAACACCGCCAGGAAGCTGTTTGATGTTGGACGGGAACGGTCTGCCGTTCTGATGGGACCAGTGCAATTCTGGCATGGGAATCCCGGCCACAGCTCGACATTGCAAATCGGTAGAACCGCCTAGTATAACAGGAGGCACCTCCCTTGGGTAGATCTCCACGCGAGGAGCTTCCCGAGCTGTTTCAACAAAACGCACAAGTTTTTCTTAACGTTCACAGCATGGACAAAGAATTTCCATTCTTACTCACGTTCAACTTCGATCACAGCGCTGGATTCGTGGCTACCAGATGGTCCTGTCACGTGGCACACGTACACTCCACGGTCTGGGATCTGAATATTGACGATCCTCAAGGTGTCACCGACTTGTTGAACGTTAGAGCTCAGTCGTTCGTGATGATACTTGCTCCATTTCACCTGCAGACCTGGTTCCCCGCTGGTGACACACTGTACCTCAGCTACGCTGCCTTGAGGAACAGTCTGTTTCTCGGGTCTCACTTTGATGGAAGGTGGAGATCTTCGAGGCACCACTGTTATCTCAGCTGTGTTGTTGACGTGGGTTCCAACGTAGGTAGTCGCTAAGCATATGTAAACGCCGGAGTCGTACTGAGTTGAGTTCATGATTGTTAATACACCATCGCGTTGAGTAGCTGTTGGAGAGAAGGGTAAGTTTCCTTGTCGAAGCCAGACGAGGCTCGCGAGTTCTGGTGATGTTTGGGAACAGGTTAACAGGACTGCGTCTCCCTCTGTTCCGTACCATTGCGATGGAGTGATGGTAGGGAGTATACCAGTTGTCGGTGGCATGGAAGGATTATCTGTGGACAATGAAAATTTATGATAATGTAACGATACGTTAATTATTAATCATTCCTTGTACTCACCGCTGACATAAAGAATAACAGTCTGCTCGTCTACGCCAACGTTGTTCCTGGCAATACACTTGTACTCAGCTGCGTCGTTCTTTGAGGCTGCCCGCAGAGACCAAATTCCATTATGAGTGACCACTTCTGGGCTCGTAGGTCCATGGACGCGTATCCACTCGACCTGAGGCTGTGGGTGTCCAGTGGCCATGCAACGGAATTCTGCAGGTTGTCCTTCCACTACCTCCAAGGATGTTGGCATGACAACGGCTCTTGGTGCAACTGGGTTTGAACCTAAATAGAACACGGATAGTTAATTTTAGGTTCACCTTTGAAAATACGTTTGATGTGGCTTGTTTCATGTACCTGGTATCTCTAATAAACTTTGTGGAAATGCTGCGTCCGTGTAATACGTTACATTTAATATACACATGTTTCAGAAATATTCATTCAATTTTTAACTTACCTCCAACGGTGAGGGTAACGTTCTTGTATCCAATATGCACACCATCGCTAACTTGGCAGACATATACGCCGCTATCGGATACTTTCACATCACGAATGACCAATAAGCCCTGACTGTCGTCCACAGTTCTTCCAGTAGGTAACTGGCCACCTTCTTTTTCCCATTTGATATGCAATGATCCCTGTTGGTACAGATTCTTTGTTTCATCTGTTACAAAGATTTATTATGCATTTACTTACATTGTCTAAAGATTTGCCAGCACAATGGTATCGAACGGTGGTTCCAGCTTCAACGATTTGGAACTCTGGTCCTTTGATGTAAACCAGTATCCTCGGTGGAGGTATATAGGGAGGATACGGTGTAGTGGTTGTTACATTAGTTTCTACAAAATATTACATAAATTAGAAGACCGTGAAGCTTCGAATCTTTGTTTGCTGTATTTTACAACACAAAGTGAAAAAAGAAAATCTGACAAATTCCTACACCCTTTCTAACACGATATTAAGCTCCTGAACCCCACGTGTAATCGAATGACATAAGCTCTAACAAAGCAGAGGTATAGCTATAACTAAAAGAAACCACGCCATGTGTGTTCTAACAAGGGGAACTGCCCAAGTGTTACACTCACTTATTAATGAAACTTTGCCAGCTTGTAGAGCTCGTCGAGCTGAACACACCTATACCCCGTTTTGTGGGCAGATGGCTAATTGTTTAAGAGATATTAATAATTCAAGTTAGTTACTACTTACATTGAGAAGTATGACAGACTCGCACCTATAACTCGCAATCCAGAGATCCACGGTACAAATCCTTGGTTCCCAACATTTTTTTTTTTTTTTTAATGATAATTTGTCTCTTTTTGAATAATTCTTACAAAAAAAAAAAAAAAAAAAAAAAAAAAAAAACAGTGACCCGGGATTTGAACCGAGGGCCTTTAGATTACGAGACAAGCGTTTAACGACGGGGCAGATCCGTGACTTACAATTTGAAGGTCCTCGGTTCAAATCCTTGGTTCACAAATAAAATTTTTTTTTTATATTGATAATTTTTATGTAATAGTTATTCAAAAAGAGACAAATTATCATTAAAAAAAAAAAAAAAATGTTGGGAACCAAGGATTTGAACCGTGGATCTCTAGATTGCGAATTGTATGTGTAAGTTTGTCATACTTCAGAATGTAAGGAGTAACTAACTGTAATTGTTAATATCTTTTAAACAATTAACCGTCTGCCCCCAAAACAGGGTACAGGCGTGTTCAGCTCGACGAGCTCTACAAGCTGGCAAAGTTTCATTAATAAGTGAGTGTAACACTTGGGTAGTTCTCCTTGTAAATTAAAGGTTTTGATGAATTATGGTATTCATGGTATTATGGTATTTGAGGAATTAGAATATTTTCAATTGAATGAATGTAAGTCCCAGACTGTTTTCCATTCCCAGGGACGGACGAACACGTAATATTTGCTGTGATATAGTCCGCCAAACCTGGTGTAACCGATGTCACCACCTTGATTAACTCTTTGCCATCACGGTCCTGGATATGGCACTCCACATTGCAAGGTTCTAGCTGCACGTAAACGTACCAGGTTCGCTGTGCCCCTTTCTCGGTTATCATAATCGGGCCGGGTGTAACACCGGTCGCAGTTAAAGGCATTCCACCGAATGGTGTTAGTTTAAAAGAGATATACAAAGGTTCCGGGAACTCGTAACTGCATGTGAATAGAATCCACGAGTTTGCCATAACTTCACCCTTCATCGGCTTTATACTAACCATCAATTCACCTAACCGATGTAATGTTCAAAATATTTAATTTCAAGTGAACTCTATTTTTCTATCAACTCACTCTTTTACACTGATAATTCTATACAAACTTGAATATTGCAATGTATGTATGTATTATGTATATAATACTGAAGCTTTTTTAAATATACGTACCGGTGCTCAGACAGTATTGACCGGTGTATCCTGGCAGACAGTGACATTTCACTTGTCCACTTCTCGTGATTTCGCAGCTCTCCTCGTTATTGTTGCAAGGGCATGGATTGCAGGAGCCCAAGTAGCTGGCAGAACGATCGTTCGGGTCTCTGTAGTATCCTCTAGCACAGGATTCACAGGATGTACCAACGTGGCCAGTTGGACAGCGACAAACTTCCACTTGAACTGCTCTTCTGTTACCAGTCTGATGCTCCACCGCTGTGTCCAGACTTATATCACTGATGTAAGTGGCTGTCATTCTTTCACTGTGCGTTGCACGGACCAGAATAGCCTCAAGGTTGGACAGTACAGTCATTAGGTCAATGCGGGAAGCAACTCGTGGACCTTCGGTGGTTAAACGTCTCCATTCTGATTCTCTAAGAGGCACCGAGTAGGTCTACAACGAGGGGGAAGGTTCAGTTAAGTTACACCATGATAAACAATATCCGAATACGTACCAATGGTATGTCAGGCTGAATATCCATAGGGTTCGTCCAGAACAATGTAATCCCATTTCCAATTAAAATGATATCCTGATCTTTGTAACTCTGAGCTCCGGGATACGCAGTGATATGCTGGGTTAAAGTGAGATTCCCCCCGTAACTTTTAACCTTGTTCCCAGTGAATATTGCTGGCAGAGACCAGAACAACCTGCGTCCTCGACTATCCGGGTAACGATAGCCAATCTCATTCATGGCGAAATTCAGCTCAAAACCATCATCGATTATCTCCTGTCTAGTTCTGTGAATCAATGTTCCATTGATCATCTTGCACGCTAAACTGCTCTATTCAAAATTGATATAGCTACTCACGAGTCAGTAAGGGTGAACCCATGCTGATTGTCGTAGACCCAGACTGGTATCTGTTGAACGTACAGTGAACTCTCGTGACACTGATTAGTCACACCGCTGCAGTAACATTCGGTGCATCCATCAGGATTGTACGAGGAGAGTCCAAAGGTGGATGGACGACAACGGTTGCATTGGGGTCCTTCGACGTTTCGTTTACAATCGCATCTGTCGCCGATACACGAGCTGCTACGAGAGCCAGCCTCGTTACAGCGACACGGTGTCGAGTCTTTGTAGACGCAATCGTGTGGCGTTCCTCGAGTTGCATCCCCTTCGTATCCTGGCTCGCAAACCTCGCAGAAGTCTCCGGTGGTATGGTCTGCGCAATTCTGTAATATTTATAAATAACAATTGAATAGTTAATTTTCTTTTGGACACGCCCAGAAGCAACGTTAATAATTCTTTGCCAACCTCGCATATTCCAGTGTCAGGATTGCATTGAGCCGAGTGTCCATTGCAGTTGCACTGTTCGCAGATGCCTAGGTACAGGCCTTCGCTGGCTCTGGTGTATCCAACGTCACAGTCTTCGCAAGATAATCCTTTGTAGCCAATAGGACAGGAACATTCTTCTACTTCAACCGCACGAGCTCTTCCTGTGTTGTATTTTTCAGCAATGTCCAAAGATACCAGAGACAACCTGAAGGAATAGTGACAGATGTTTAGATTTATTTTTTGTATAATATGTGCAAAAGAGTAATTCGATAACTTACGCAGCCTCGTCGGTATGGGTAGTGTAGGTAGCTTTGATTCTAATGGCACTAACATCAGCCAGTGCCATTAATAAATGTTCCCTGTCAGCTTGCGTGCCATCGTTACGTTGCCAGTATTGTTCCAGAAGAGGGACAGTGAATGTTTGCGGTGTATTTGGTTCAGGAGATTCCCGGGAGAAGTACAACAAATTGATATCATTAGCCTGGGGATGAAGAGTAAGATTCAGCAAACGCAATGCAGTGAGTTAATAATAGGAATAGATTTGATTTACTAACGCTGATCAATTCAACGTCAGCAGCATTGTTCTTTGAACTCTGACCACCTGGTGCTGGAACGTATCTAACAGTGTACTTAAGATTTCCACCGTAAGACGTGACCTGATCGCCCAAGAAGATACTAGGCAACTGCCAGTAGTAGACGTCGTTGTTTCCACGATTAGGGAAATCATTGTAAATGATCTCACGTGTTACTGTGTTCAAACGGATGCCATCAACGATGGGTGGTGGATGTGGTGTTCTTGATTCGATGAGGGAGAAATCTCTGATAGAATTTGTGAAGGAAACTCGAACCTGTAAGATTCATAAATGCTTTATGTTTATAGTCGTTTAATAAGGATAATTGAAACAACGCAATGAAACGTGTACTCACGTCATTCCTGTACCAATTGGACGAGACACATTTGTTGGTGATGCCCATGCAGAAGCAACTAGTGCAACCGAATTGATTTTTGAACGTATTCGCCTTACATTGGTTGCAAGTGATACCCGTAGCGTATTGCTGCAAATTTACATTTAATTGAAACACAGGTATCAATAGTTCAGTTAAATCCTTAATCAATATCCCTTTGAAATGATACAGTTATCATTCACTGTACTTACTTTTAAGAAAGAAAGACAGATTTCCGAGTAAACGACAGCATTAATGAAATTGAACATGTTATATAAATCTATTTTTTAATAATACAGAGACCTAAGAGATTTGAATAAATTGAAAATTTAGTACCTTGCACCGGCATTTTCCAGTAAGAGGATCCACAACTGAACTGATACTGCCCTCTGGGTCACACTGTTGCCTTGCTACACACATGTCTCCAGGAATAAGAGGGTTTCCTTGGTACCCAACGTCGCACTGTTCGCACCTACGACCAATGTATCCTGGAGGACAATTGCAGGTTGGTTGGCCATCGGATCCAAGATGACAGGTGCGTGCAAATCTATAAAGTTCAGAATACATTAAGACCTCTTTCAATGGAACTTTCTGCAGTTTCCATATTTTTAATGATAGCCTACTGATTAGATGGATTGGTAAGTGGGCAGGGGCAAGCTTTGCAAGGTATATTCCTCGAGGGATCGCCATAGTATCCTGGAGGACAATCAACCGGTTCGTCTCTGTAACACTGACCAAGCCATAGGCCAGTTTTTCGTCTCAGATATCCTGGAGCACATTCCTCGCACGACAGACCAGTGTATCCTGAACAATAAACATGTTTCATTAATCATTCGAATAAATCGATGGATTATTAAAAGATCAGAACATACCTGAAGGACACTGGCATTCTTCTACGAACGATGCCGACCCAAGACCAGTGTTCCTCACATCAGCAGTGTCCATTACAATATGTGTCAGTTGGACATCCAAGTCTGGTGAATTGTCATACTCTACTCTGAAGGGCAATACAAGTTTCAGTGATTTCAAGTAACTTCAATTGATCATCGTTTAACACGAATACATACTTGATTAAAATGTTGTCTACGTTGGCCAATGTCATCATGATATCCTCCCTCGTAGCAGGTACCTCTGACCAGCCTTGTTTCTTCAACCACTCACCCTCGAAGAACCTAACAGACTCGTCGTTATCGTAATTAGGTATCAATTGTTTCCCTTTGTGTATCAGCACATAATTATTCCCGCTTAGCACGACCGCTGGTGCAGAATTTGGAACTCCAGTGCCATTGTAACGCACCCTGTACTTCAGATAACCACCGTAGGATTTCAGCTGACTTCCATGGAAATTCTCAGGCAGGGCAAAGTAAGGAACATCTTTCTCAGCAGCTAACTGGTTCAAGAATGGAGTTGATTCGTCCAAATGTAAACCGTCTCTGCCCAATGGTTTCACAGCTAACTGATAACTGATGTCGTTGAGGATTCGAAGGTCAGGCTCTTGTTTAACAGCTACGATTTTATGACGATCAAAAGGCGGAGGGATTTGATACGTGAAGAGGTTCGCACTGTGACACTCGGTGGCGACACCGAAGCAGAAACAGGAGATACATTCCTCCACAGTTCTTGCCTCGGAATTGAACATCCCCTTGGGGCAAACATCGTCTGGTTTGTTCACCATCACAATGGCGTCAGGTACCGCGAACACGAAGCCAGCGGTGTTTAATGCCTCGCAGGAATAAGCTCCTTGATCTTCGGTCTGTATGTCAGGACAGGTTAGAGTTCCAGTTCCATTGATGGACGTCATGGTGCATTTTGGAGGAATGTGGCCCCAGTTCAACCGCCAATTTATTTCAGGGGTAGGAACACCTATCGCTGTACAGACGATCACCAGGGTTGTTCCTAGATCTAAAGTGATCATCGGTGGAGGTGGCTTCATTATGTAAACCGGAGCTGAAGGAAATAAAATGATTCTTTTAATGTCTCTGTTATATAAAATTAGCTATTTTTTATATGGTAGAACCATTACTCACAACATCCTATTTCATCGCTACCATCAATGCAGTCCTTCTCCATGTCACAATGATAACTTTTAGGTATACACTGGTCATTGCTGGCACAAGTGTACTCGGTGACGCGACAAGGAGATCCTGGCCTGTTTGGAACACAATTTTCCTCGTCACTACCATCAGCACAATCCTTGTCACCGTCGCATCGCCATAGTTTGCTCACACACTGTGTGTTGTTGCAACGGAACTCGTTGGGTTCACAGCCATGCGGACCTGTTTATTATGATTATCATCATCTCGAGTGTGAATCATGTAAATGCTTGGTACAGGAGAAAAGAACACTTACTGCAACGCATTTCATCTGAACCATCTGTGCAATCCAGTCTGCCATTACATACGTATGATTTGGGAATACAGTCCCCATTGCTACAAGTGGCTTCATCGTACATGCAGACATGAGGCTTGTTCGTTGCTGGTGGTTCGACTGAAACAGGAATTAATAATGAAAGCATTTGATGAAATAAATTATCTATAGGAGATTCTGAAGGTGCTTACACTTTTCTACGGTCAGATAAACGTTCACTTGTTGGCCTGTTGTGGATGCAGGGTAACCAACAGCCTCGCAAATGTACAGTCCACCATGGTCCAGTTGGATGTTTGGAATTTCAAGACGTCCATTCAGATCTCGACTACCAGGTGGCAGAGGGAGGTTGTTACCGCGAAGCCAACGTACCCTGGCTCGAAGAGGACCCTCGTCGCGACATTGGAACACGACTTCTCGACCTGATTACCCCAATTCAGTTGTAATTTTGGGAAAGAATTTTTTAATTTATGCTTGTTTATTTGTGTTGTATTATGATTTGTTACTTGTGTTCAATTAATTGTGATGTATTTCCAAGCAGCTCATTTAGTATGGATGTAATTATGTGTATGTATGTATGTGTTAAGTGTATTGTAATTCAACAAAATGAAGGTGTAAAATGTTCAACAATTGTTTCACTTTTAATCACATAGTTTGTACACTTCTAGTATGAAATTATTTGTTCATGCAATTTTATATTCCATGATGTCGATTACAAATTAATTCATATTAAGTTTATGGTAGATAAATGATGTATGTGATACAAATACATCACTGAAATCGGTCCTCTTGATAGATCATTAATCACTGATTATATTTATGAATCAAAAATAGGCGAAATCTTATGCAGCATTATTTGCAATTGCTCTTTGAAAGAATCTTACCTTGCTTCGCCGGGTCTAGCCAAGGCAAGAAAAATAATCAAAATTCTTGTTAATCAATATTCGTACTCAACTTACAATTCTAAATACTTTTGTGTATACAATAAGATAATTGTACTTATTAACATATATCTTGCGATACTTACTCTCTTTGATCACTTGCTCACTAGGATATGTCTTCAAATTGAGGCGAGATGGTTCTTTAAGTTGTTCTGAAACATTAATAAAGAATATTGTCAATGAAACTGGATTACAATCTACAAAATATTGCAGCTCAATTAATTACCGCAGTTCTCTTCGTCCGACCTGTCCCTACATTCTGGAATTCCATTACACATAGAGGACTGAGGTACACAGTCTTTGTCAGAAACACACATGATGTACCCAGCTGGGCAACGACCAGGCATGGGATGGAAACCGGGACGTTCTAATAAAATGAATAGAAATAAAATATTAATAACCTTTTGTAATAATGTATAATAAATATAAAACTTACCACATTCTTCAGGTTCATCGGATCCATCAACACAGTCTATATAACCATTGCATTTCTGATCAGCTCTGATGCAATCTCCATTGGAACATTGGAATTGATCCTTGCCACAACCTACAAGAACACCTTACATTGTAGCTGACAAGGTCAATTGATGCATTTGCATGGAACCATTATGTACTCATTAAAAAACATGAACGAGGAATAAAGTGATGGAAACAAGAACAGGTTCTATTATTACTTCTCAAACAATCCTCTAAGGGTTTCAAAAAGAACATGGTTCACCACAGGACAGTAGTATTAGAACTTGTTACATTAAATTAAGAATTACTGATTTCTTTGGGCGTGCAGAATATTGCACCACTACTGAACACTTGGTACTAGCATCTACAACATTTATAATATAAAAAAAGAAGAACAATTTGCGTTCCTCTTTCTTTCTCATGCTGTAACAGGGTTGCATCTATCGATAAGGACTCAACTAAAACATCAAGCAACAGATGCACTATTATTAACAGCTAGGATGCGACGAACGTGTAACTGATGAAGTCCAGTCGAGTTTCATAAACGTCATTATGTTTCTACTTGAACAGCCTACACATTATCTATTCGGCTGCTAACACTGACTGAGAAAAATAGAATGCAAAGCCTAGAGAATCTGTGGCGTCCCAGGTATCAAATGAACATAAGCAATCAAGAGAATCTAATTCTTATTTTTCAGCCCTGACACTTTTCCTAAGTAAAAGAAACAAAATAATATTCTGAATGGAAACCTATTTAAAGAACTAAAGAAAAGCTATCACCGTACATTGTGATTCACAGTTAGCAATTCCATCCTGGGAATTATTTTATTTAAAAGAATTCAAGTTAAATGTGAGTCACAAGGTAGTACTGATGATTCATATCAGCAACGCAAGCAACATTTTTAGGGTACAAGTTGATGGAACATAACTCAACAGGCAAGAATAAAAAATGAGAGATAAAAAGGATCCAACAGGTGGAAAGACGCCAACAGATTTTCAAGGTCAACGAGTGATCTAACCGAAGCAATACTGTTCGTCGGTAAAGTCGCGGCAATCGTAGAAATGGTCGCAGTGGTGAGTTTCAGGGATGCAAGTGCCATCAGCACAAACAAAATCATCCGGAGCACAACTCCTCGGCGTGCTCAGATTAGCCGGTGCTTGATAATCCAGACTGTAACCCTTAGCCTGGCTCTTGTGGGTTAGCCCCACCAGGGTGTCTGGATGTCCCCTTGAAGAGGTTCTATCCGTGCTTATACCTAGAAGTAACCGAAACTAAACCAGCTTGCTCGCGGATCAGCCTGTATTTTTGGGGAGAGTATTTCTTAACATTGTCGACCTGTCCTTCGGGATTAATCCTGAAACTACTTACTACTTGGCGTTTCCACCTTTCACTGCAAATATTTGTGACTTATGGTTTGTACTTCAGACTGGCTACATGCACTTTAGATACTTTATAACATACAAAGAGGCTTGCTCGGTGAAAAGTTACCAGTCTGAAGCACGGTTCCAGGTATTTGCCTTTGAATAAGTGCACGTGGAAAATTGGTGCGGCATAATCGGTTGCCTCTAGAAGGCGGTGAACACGTAGTCACGGCCAAACATTGCGTATGCAACCTGGTGCGTTGCGTGATCTACTGGATCAAGTGTGCAAGATCGAATAGAGCGTATTTATATATATATATACAAATGGTGAAAACGGTCGCGACATTGTCAGACGTTCTTTCAATGAATCTCCTTAGCTTAATGAAACTTTGTTGCAAAATAGAGAATGATTTCACTCTGATCAAATAAGCTTCTACAATTGTTTCTACAAAGTATCATTAAGAGTTTCAAGGATGTCAGAACAAAATACACTTCTAGTCATTGGACGAAGATACTGGAGGCTTTTCAAATATTTACAAATGTCTAAGATATTATATTATTCGTCTGTCTTCGTATCAATGACTATCGGTGTAGATTGCAGCTGGTTCTTGCAGCATTTTTCACCCATTTCTCGACACGCTAAGTCTCTCTACGTGATCTCTAGTACACGTTTCCGGCGGTGCGCACGTGGGCAACGTGTTCCTCGTTACTCCCATTCTGTCTTCGTGTATTTCGCGACGTACCTCGTGGACAATTGATCTCGTCTTCCTCGTAGGGACAGTCGTTTCGTCCGTTGCAGACTGCAGACTGCGGTATACAGCCTCCATGGGGGCAGGCGAATTCGTCTTGGCGGCATGCAACATGATCCCCATCAGTTGTCTCATCGATAACCGCTGAAATTTCAACGGTGTATCAATTTTACAGTACACTTTTATGTACACGAGTAATTTACATAGAGTGTGAATACTGGAGGTATTTAGATTTTGGTTACAGTGACTTAGGGTACTTCAGAAATCTCTGAAATAGCACTCCCTGAATACTCTAACAAGGAGAACTACCAAGTGTTACATTCACTTATTAATGAAAGTTTGCCAGCTTGTAGAGCTCGTCGAGCTGAACACGCCTATACCCTCTTTTGAGGGCAGATGGTTAATTGTTTAAAAGATATTAATAATTAAAGTTAGTTACTACTTACATTGAGAAGTATGATAGACTCACACATACAACTCGCAATCTAGAGATCCATGGTTCAAATCCTTGGTTCCCAACATTTTTTTAAAATGATAATTTGTCTCCTTTTGAATAACTATTACATAAAAATTATCATTATAAAAAAAAAAATTTTTATGTGAACCAAGGATTTGAACCGAGGACCTTTAAATTGTAAGTCACGGATCTGCTCCGTGGTTAGACGCTTGACTCGTAATCTAAAGGTCCTCGGTTCAAATCCCGGGTCACTGGTTTTTTTTTTTTTTTTTTTTTTTTTTATTCAAAAAGAGACAAATTATTATTAAAAAAAAAAATGTTGTGAACCAAGGATTTGAACTGTCGATCTCTAGATTGCGAGTTGCATGTGTGAGTCTCTCATACTTCTCAATGTAAGTAGTAACTAACTTTAATCCTTAATATCTTTTAAACAATTAGTCGTCTACCCCCAAAACGGGGTATAGGTGTGTTCAGCTCGACAAGGTCTACAAGCTGGCAAAGTTTCATTAATAAGTGAGTGTAACATTTGGGTAGTTCCCAAAACTGATCCAAAAGAGATCTTCACACAGATAGAACACATTCTTACGGCAGTCACGTTCATCGCTGCCATCGTGGCAATCGGCATTTCGGTCGCAGAAGAAGTTCTTGTTGATGCAGACACCATTATCGCAGGGTAGCTCACCGTCAGGACACTCTGAAAGCACAAAGAAATCATCAGCTATGGAAACTACATGATTTAAAGATATCCAGAATAGAGAAACCATATAAGAAAAAAAGAAAGTCATATATTCCAGGCAGTGTGCTCGTTTCACCCGGATAATCATTCAACCATCGCTGCCCCATAGATCCTTCTCCATTATATACACCCATGGTATGGAGAGGGTCATTGAAAGCCCGAAAGTTTCAAGGTAGAATGTTTCTGAACCGGGGAAAACTTGGCCAGAGTGAAAGTGCACGATCATTTTTCATCGATTTTCCACGGTCTAACGACGAAATTAAATGCGAGGGAGGTTGAATAAGTGGCCAGCGAATAATTAAGCGATCGATAGGCTGTCCAGGTTGCGATACGAACGATGATAAAGCGTGCTGGTCCCGGTTCTTCAAACAATAAACGAGCACACTGCCGTCTGTCATGCGACGTTTCAAGGAAACTCGTTTAGAGCGCACGTGTACACTGATCCCATGGAGCTTCTATGGTGTCCTGCGGGTATACCATACGTTTATCAGGTGTTCAGTCAGAGTACATTCTACAGGGAATGGAAAAAGTATTGGTACACACATTTATACTGCAATAACTTGTGAATTATTGAACTAATCATGTGATACCTTAGCAAACATAATGTAATATTTAATGAACATGATACATGTTTCTTGCAGGAATCCAAAGTGTGTTAATACTTTTTACATTCACTGTTCATAGTTGGAATACCAGTGATAGAATGAAACTTTCTTTATTTCAATTATTTTATAGGTTTTCTTCAAATTGAAGAATAGCACAAAATGAGACTAAAAATTAATTTATATAAATTATCAGATAAGTGTGTGAAAAATCTGAAATGATAACATGAATATTATATACCAATAGAGTAGAGATTGAACATTGATAGAAACGTTTCACGTTTATTGCAGGAAAGAGGATGGATCCGGTTATCATTATATCATCCCCGTCAAATTCACGATTAATCGGGAGAGGAATCGAGCCGATAACGAGAGCGTTAACGCCAAAGGGGTTTGGTGAATGTTCCGCCCTGGTATTCCAACGATAGTATTGGAAGAGTGGTAAGTAGGAAAATTCTACTATGCAGCACGATAACTCCGTGAACTATGTCCTCCCTAGGGAGCGAGTGTAATGTACTTTCCAAAAGCTACGAACGTTTAAACAGTATCAAACAGAAAGATCTAGGCAAAAGGAGATGCCTCGTAAATCTAAGACTATGGTATCATACGAGGGAAACAAAGAGAGAAAAGGAGACAGAGAGAAATAGAGAGAGAGAGAGATATGTACACTGGCTGATCAGAAGTTTGAGTACATCTGTGATGCTTGAATTCTTTTACAATTATCACAAGTATTACAATTGATAGTTATTGTTTCTTCTATTTTCAGTTTACATTTTCCTAACTTTCTAAGTTACAACCTCTGCTTTGTCCAATACTTGTCCAAATTTCCAAAATTCAACCATCTGTACCCCAAACTTTCTTCCTCAGGATCAGTGTACCATAAAATATAATGATCACTTGGATTCATCAAATACTTTGGATCTTGTGTACATGTTCGTGCGCTGTGCAAGATTCCCACTATAAAAATAAATACAGAAGAATATTAAAAAAGAGATACATATATATATATATAAAAGATAATAAATAGTATACAATTAGAGAAGACAGGTATGTATATATCAAAGATCAGGCAACCTGTGCTGAAATAGAAGAGAAAAGGAAAGAAGAGAGTGTGTGAGACAGTGAGCAAGAGAAGAAAGTAGAGAAAATTCGAGCAAGGTGAAGAGAAACAGATTCTTTGAGAGGAAGAAAAGTATTGTTGAAGATGTGTTAACAGTAGAGATAAAAAATTGCTCTGTATATAGAGTCAGATAATCCAAGACGTGAAATTTAATGAGATTTAAGTAGGTGCCACGCTGAAACATACAAAGATACATGGTTCAGTGAGCCAGATCGAGGCTGATTGAAAGTTTTCTTGGCTACTTATGTCAGTAATTAAGAGGATGATCACTGAGGCTACAGAAAGGCTGCTGGAAATCTTCTGTAAAACATTTTATGATAATTTGACAAAAATACCTTAAGTGGGTCAATTAAATATCTACTGGGGTGAATTTTTCTCAGAATCATTCTACACGAATTTTTTAAACAGAATACGTTGCAATCTGGACGGGTGATTATTCGCAGAAGAAAGAGTAAAAAGAAGCGAAGTGCATTTTTCTAGTTCTGAAGGAAAACAATTTGAAAGTCGGTCGAGAATCCACGGAGCTTCAGTGGTTCTCAACAGGCATATATTATTAAAATCATGAAGAATATAATGCAACTTATAGAAAGCACAATTAAAATTTTTTCAAAAACCTTTTCCTGATCTTTTTTTTGAATAACCAATCATTTTAGTTACAATTACAAATAACTCTAAGAATTGTGTCTGATAGTAAATCTCGATGAGTTTCCATGGAAGCCTTGCTCATTAGCCACGGTTCAGGAGGTTCAATCCTTTAAATCTTCCTCGAGTAGACATTCTGTAGCCTCGGAGGGGGTATTCCACGATCAAACAGCCTCGATCGCGAAGCATGGAAGGTCGGTGTCCAAGCAAAACGGCAGTCAACGAACGTTCGCATCGAAAAAGCACGGTCGATCGAACGACGAAACGAGATTAACGGGCCTCTCGTCTAGCCGAGCTGGCTCTCGCATTAGTTACAGCTTCTTAATTGCCGCCTTGAAGACCGACGCGACCAGGGAGAGCTCGTTCCTACCGATCCGCGTACGCATCGATCTCTATTCTCTGGCTTCTCCTCTCGTATTTTCGCTCTCGAACCCGTTTCCACGAGCTTCCTATCTTCTTCCTCAACGTTTTCAATTCCCATCGACATCTGCGTACGCGGACCAGGAAGAAGCTCCCGTAAGACAGACCCACGGGCCAGACGTTCCTGAAAAAAGAAGGAATGTTCAGCGTGTCGTTTAGGAGAGCAGCATTGCGTGAAGATTCCGTCTTTTCCCGTCGATCGCTGGCTCCTTCATGCGAAACAATCCGAAACGTCGAAACCCCAGAAGAGAATAATTCATCAACCAGGTGGATTTAATCGATTCCAAGATGAGGGGGAGGATGGATTACAGCGAGTCGGGGAGCTCTTAGAATTCGAGAAAGTGGGTATAAACAAAAGAAAAACACGGTGCCCAGAAGAAGCTCCTCGTTTAAGAGGATGGCTGATTTGCGTCACGCTTTGAGCAATAATTGATTTCTCGCAAAGGAATCGAATTTCTTTCAATACTTTTACCAGTTACATTGAAAAGGAAGAGCTGCTGGCTTTGCAGAAGTTCCATCATAAATTCATCGTTGACGTTACAGTCTATGATATTAAAATTATAATAAAGTCTTCTCTTTAGGAGAGTCACAAAAATTTGTCCAGCATGGTTCTTCATATAAATCCATCCAGGCATCCCGGTTGAAGGACCTCGACTGTTCTCTGTCGTAATTCGCAATGCAAATCAGCCTCGAGAGAGAAAGATAGAGATAGAGATAGAAAGAGGCAGAGGTAGAAAAGTAGTGATCGTACGGCAGTTGATCTCGTCCGAGCCGTCCAAACAATGCGGTCGACCATCGCAACGTCTCTTACTGTCCAGGCACAATCCGTCGTTGCATCGAAACATTCCAGCCGGACATTCATTTACTACAACGACCCCAAACGACCAGGTGGTACTCCGTTAGGACATCTCGTGCATTAGTGGGCGACACAAGGGGAACAGAGGGAGGGGTCGAAAACGGCCTTACTAGCAGAGCCTGTATTCCTTTCAGCTATTAGATTGTTGATCAATTTTCAAGCATCAGAGTATGACACAAAAGTAACGCAAAGGAGCACTTATGGTATATCAAACTCAGAGTGTATGGGGTTCTGTATTGCTGAAAGGAATACAGGACTGTGCTCACCATCCTCGCGTGCACATTAGTCCACAGAGTAGAGAATTTGGAAGAGATACTCACGTGTCTGCTCCAACTGATTGTACGTGTTTCATTTTTGAAGAGTACAAAATTGTTGAGGCGAGCAGAAAGCGACGAGTACAATCAAAACGTACAAATGGACTATAAATTGTCATGCGATAATCATGCAATCGATGCTTCAAAACAATATGAACTTGATTAACGAGGGAATGCGATGTTAATTATCTTTCAGCAATCTTGATTAACCCTTTAACTAAGCACCTCTATTGATTCATGATAGAAGTACGTTATGGTTAAAGGATTATTTTAAGAGAATCTCTCTGTTTTCCAATATGGTAAGGCCACTTTTCGTCGAACTGGGAGGCAAGGGGGCGAGGACGCATAATTACCACATCCAGCCTCGTCAGTTCCATCAGCACACTGGACTACATTGTCGCATCTTTCGGTTTCCGGTATGCACTCGCCACTGGCACATTTCCATTCGGCAGGCGTGCAGACACCTTAACGGCACAAACACATATAAGCACACCAAAGAAGCATTTAAAAAAGCGGTTTTATGGTTGTGTTTGCTGGATATTGATCAATAGGAATATGTCATTCAGAGATTCACAATTTGTATATTAACTTCCCTAAAGAAAAATTCGATGATTTTCAGAATCAATAGGAACCTGCGAGGAGTTCATTTGATACTCCTAATATTATTATAAAAATATTTTTACAAAATTGAGAATTGAACTTAAATCAGTGCATCTAGTTTAGAGGTATTCTCTTCTTAATTCTAATATTGAAATCCAGAGCTAGAGTTTTAGGGGAGTCCATCAAGGTGACCAATTCTATTTCTTCTCAACTGAAATCCTAAGTCCATGATCTCCAGCAAATACGAATACTGCAAGGTATAAAAGACGAGTGAATCTTCTGAATGATATAGGAAAGGATCGGAGGAAGCTCTTACCGCAGCCACGTTCATCACTGCCGTCGATACAGTCGAAGATATTGTCGCATTTACGTCGAAGCAGAACACACTTGCCGTCGTCGCAACGCATTTCCCTGCTCGGATCGCATTCCCTCAGGCTGTCGGTTGCCCGGCCTGGCCATGGTTGGCCTGGACGTATACATACACAGAACAAGCACATTGCCAGCTACTTGGACATAAGCATTTCCAGCAAAGATGACCACTAAAAACGTCTCCGTGACGGGGAACGAGATTCAAATTCAATTAGTAACTAAAAAGCAGGTTTTTAAGGGCAATTGAACTTGAACGTCTATTGCCACTGTGATTCTAAAACTTTGAAAGCTCACCTTATTGTAATTTATACTATGTAAAGCATACCCTTCAGAATAAATATTCTAAAAAGTATTTCGTTCAAATTTGCTATTTTCATTCAGAAATTACACCTGAATACACTAGACAGTAGAAATCTGGAATGAAAGAGTCCTTGCCATTTTGAATGTTCCCTCTATCAAGCTAATGAATTAATTAGACGGGAGTAAGTCGGCTAGCATCGTTGTCCCCGTCGAGGAGTGTTAAGCAAACGGGAGAACGAGTTTATTTGACCATTTTTACCTGGCTGGGTCTCGGCGGTTCGTAAACACGCCTCTTTCAGATGTATCTGAATCATGCAGAGGAAGAGGAGTCGAGTATAATCGAAAGCAGATTGTATAACAAATATGTATGTTTAGACGTACAAATACGTCAGATTGAAAGGAAAGATCTGCTCTTCATAGTTTCTTTTAGAAAGATACCACTGTTATGAGACATGCATTTACAGAAATCTTCTCAATATTGATAGAGAAATTCACAATAATATAATGCATCAACATGGAGAAGCTTATTAAAATCTGAGGAGGATAGAAGTTCCTGAGTGTGGCCTTAACACTTTCCTATTAGACACAATTTCCCAAACTATGCCTCATAGAAGATGAAACAATATACATCTGAAAAAAGAAGGAGTTAGTCTCTGATCTAATTTCTTCTGAAAATGTACATATTATTATGTTATACCTTTATTCTTTCATCTGAAGCCTCAAATTAGCAGAGCGTTCCTTTCAATCAATGACAACTATGCAATGCCATGCCATGAAACTCCAAAATCAATGCCAGAGAACCATTCTTGTACACTTCCTGTTTCTATCCTTCAAAATTTGTTTCTACTTTCAAGCTGAGTCCAAGTGAAGCTTCAGGCACTGATCAAGGGTTTGATATAAAAAAAAAACAGAGGGAAAATTAAAGGCGTACTGGTAGGCTGAATGGCGTGTGTAATGGTTTCGTTAGCGCAATCTTCGTCGCTGTGATCAGGACAATCCGGATGGCCGTCGCACCGGTAGACACCCTCGATGCACTTGTTCCCGGTGACGCATTTGAACTGGGTGGGTGTGCATTCCCGTTCTGTTTTGTTTTGTCGTTTGTGTCGCAGCAAGGGTACACGGGAGCAGAGAACACACATTTATGTACAAACACAAACGACGAGATGAATGTTGGTGCATGAGAGGAGATTAAAATTCTGTTTTAGAAAGAGGCTGATACAGTTTGTTGCTTGATGAAGAAACTTTCATTACCCACAATCTATAGAAGACTTTGAAAATTAATTAAATTATACTAAAGATAATAGCTCCTTCTTCAAGTTCAACTCACTCTGTCCTCATCTCTCTTAATAATTGCATCAAGTTGTTGCATGGGAAATGGATCATTTTGAAACATAGAAAATCTATCATAATTAGGTGACATAAAATGGCACTAATAGTAGAAAGTTTGAAGAAATTATATTGACATACCAATGCTATTTATGTCATTGTGCCAGTCTCCTTACATTCCTAAATTGGTTGTTTCATGTGCAACAACTTAATGCTTTAAGGGATGATTATCTAATAGGATTCTTATTCAGTTACAACATTACTGAAGCTCGAAACTCGTCCATGAACAACAAAAGCGTTCGACGAACAACGATACAAAAGCTTTTTACTTCTCTCATGAGGGGAGCGATCGTTTCTCCAAAGGACATGAGGAAATTAATGAGTTAAACAGATTGAAACGATCGTTCCCTTGGCTTTGAGACTGGATCAAGGAACTATCCTGAAGTTCAAGGTACTTGGGAGAGGTGAATTTATGTACAATTGATGATAGCTCGAAGGTTAAAACTTTGAAGCTACCAATGGACGAATATAGCAGTGGCTGGCAAAGCTTTCACGTTTGAAAAAACAAAATGCAATCACCATAATGTGGACTATGTTGATCAAACTGTCCTGTTATCTATTTTCAGATACATAGACACAGCAGCATATTAAAAAATGAATAAAACCTCCTGGCACTTCTAAATTGCCCTCATTTCAGTAGTACATTCAATAATTAATCTGACCAGTTTCTTTCTCTTCTAATTGACACTGATGCAGTTCGAACAAACGAATCTCTTGTTTCCTTGCTTTTAAAATGTTCCTCTTTTAGCAATACAAGTCATACTTAATTAGTACCATGATTAATCAATCACTTTTCTGTCAATCAAGTCCCATAAACGTGAAAGCTTTTATCAGCTGTGTCGTGGTCTAATCTGTAAGTACCATCACAGAGAAGACTCACATCAGATTATTTTGCAAGCAAAAGCAAGGTTCACCGGATGCCAGATTCTACATAATATCATGTAATTTTTGAAAGTCAGCTGTAGGTATAAGAATCACTGGCATCAGGTTCACCAAGATGAAATGTAAGTGTTTATATACCACAGTGAAGCTCGTCTTCTGCCCTGGGGCAGTCGTCAAATCCGTCGCAAACCGAGCTCTTCGATATGCAAGAGCCATCGCTGCAGGTGAAGTCCATAGAAGGGCACGGGGCCAAATCTACAGGGCGCCACCGGCAAAAACAAACAGCCTGTTCGTGAACCCCTATCACCTTAGGCTCTAGCTCTTCAGCATCTCTCTTCAAGGTCGCGAAAAGCTCGAGCCCAGGCATTCAATGTTATATATATATATATGTATGTATGTACAAGCTATCCATGTGAATACATTTAAAGCGTATACAGGGGCACAGGTTGATACACTGAAAGCATTTGTTACGGTGAACGATGGTAACCATCAGTGTACTGTCAGACTGTGATACAATGTCAGAATGTTCATCTCTGTGATAAGAGAGCTTATTATATGAAGACACCATTGGATGAACAATGACGTTTAGAAAATATATTATCAGTCTAACAGCACACATGACTCCTCGACCATAAGGGACCTCTTTTTTACAAGGGATTTCCTCGAAACTAACACTTAAAGCAATCTGAAGCCCCTCGAAGGCGGTTAGGTAATTCCATGGGTTCTATGTACAGTGTTGTTTCAGTATTATGAGCGTGTGACTCATTTTTTTCTTCTCTTGTGTCTGTGGCAGCTAAATGAAAACCTCGACGTCTTCAAGAGAGGAAACGATGAACGACGTACGCGTTGTTTGAATTCCAAACAAATCCACTGAATCTCGGGATTAATAAACTGGATGCATCGTATCGAATCGAGCTGGTGAAATCCTCTAGAGGATTAAAAATGCTTGTTAGACACTCGTACAGGCTGCCTCACGCGTTGACCTCGTTATCTATCCTTTGCATTTACTGGGTAATTTGATCTGAACCTATGATGAAGTAAAACATTAGTTGTTTGCTTTGATCCAATAATAAGAAATGAAAATATGAAATATGATGATCAATGATTTGCTTACCTATGTAAATGCAAAGTAAAGATCAAGCCATGCAGCCTGTATGGTATCAAAACAGAACTCCTGAAAATATATTGATAATCTACCCTTCAAGGCCTTTGTACAGCACAGATGGACGTCACAAAGTGAAACTTTCAACATATAAATCTCCTTCATTGCAACAACGTTTTGACTCCCATTGAAGCCACCATATTGCACAGCCATACTTTCATCTGTTCAATTTCACACGTTGACAAGATGTTCCACTGAACAGTATCCGAAGAGTCCCACGAAGCAGGAAGTTAGTTTGTACAACAGAAGAGGAAGAAATAACCAGTCCAGTTCTATTTCTACCTTCGCTTCCACAGTTAGCCTCATCTGATCCATCATTGCAGTGTCTTATGTTATCACAGTTAAAGATGTTGCTGATGCAAGTCCCATCGCAGGCAAAACTCAGCTCTCCACAATCCACTGGATGTTCTGTGGTTCCATTAGACCCACCTCTATTGTCCCCATGACTACCACAATTTGATTCATCGCTGCTGTCTTTGCAATCTATAATTCCATTACACACTTGACTCCCTGAGATACAGGTTTCGTCGTCGCACAAGTACTGGTCCTGGTTGCACCTGAATCTTTCAAGGATTATAGTCTCTGGCCATTGGATAGTTGTACCAGTAAACAGGTCTCTAAAGATTTCTGTGGTAGTTTCTTTAAGTTCATTCAAATCCTTGTTTGTTACTGAAGCATCTTCCTCGCAATCTTCCTCTGAATTCTGATTAAACAAAGAACCACCGTTCCACCAACTGGCTTTCTTATCACCCTTTTTACATTTTTTTGAAGAAGAATCATTGGTAACAGGTTGGTTTATGAAACTTGTGACGGTGCTCCACCAAGAGGCAGTTGTCTCCTGCTGGCTGTGTTTCTCTTCCTGGTCCGTGCTCTCCTTAGAATGAAACTCTGCGACGTCCCTTATTGGGTAAGTACCGGTTCCTATTTCGAAAAGCGTAGGTTTAACATCAAAGTAAGGCAAAGTGGAGCTCTTCCAGGTAGACTGATCGATCCCAATTGTGGTTTTATGTTGTTCATTTGAAGTAGATTGCTTGTTCACTCGATTCTTGTGTTTATTCTTCCTCTTTTTACCTTTACCTTTGGGATGCTTATCCTTCCTCCTCCCTTTATCGTGTTTTGGCTTCTTTTTACCAACCTGGCTCTCGATCTTCTCAGTAGTAGTGATGATCTCTACTACATCCTGGGGCTCTGTACTGCTGGTGATGCTGTGGATGATCTTTGGAATCTCATTGAATATTTCTGTTGATTGTTCAGTGTCCAAGATCAGCTCAGTACAGTTTTCATCAGCTAAGTCGAAGGGAGTCGTATCTTCCATGCTGATCAGCCCTGAATCCACGTTCTCTTCACTCTTCAGGGTTTCATTATTTAAACTATTCGACTGCTTCTCTTTTTCTCTTTCATACGCTTTCAATTTCTTGTACAATTCCACGCATTTCAAGGTGCAGGGATCAACCTTCCCTTTGGATGCTTGAGTTGTGGAGAGGGATGAGTTTGATGGAACTTCATTGGACAGCCTGTTTTTGCTCAGCAAATCGAGATCAACCTTGGAAATGTTCGAACCAGAGTCGAACAGACCACTCTCCACTTTAACAGACGAATTATTGTACTCGTATCTACTCAGAGCTGTGGAAGAAGTTGTGGCCGATGGTGTGACGCTTCCTGACAAATATCTATGGAAGTAATTAGCAAAGTCGCCACGTTTCTTTGCTTTATAACCGTAAATGTCCTCTCTACTGGATGACCTTTCTTTGGAGATCTCGTTTGATCCATAGTTGATAGTTTCAATTGCTTCTGAAGTTGTGGAGGGATCTTCTGAGTTTAACTCTGTAACTTCTTCTGGAAAGATTGTTCGCAAGGCATTATCCAAGTCTTCCTTCGAGGATCGTTTGATTTTTAGGGTTTCTGAAGAATCTTCTAATTCTAAGTTGAATTTTGTTGTCTCTTCTTCAGGGATTATGGTTGAGGTTTCATTAAAATCTTCAGAAGACCACTCGACCTTTGGTGTCTCCATAGAGTCACTGAAATTAGTTTCTTCTTCCACATTCCATTGTGTTGTGTCTTCTGTAGTCTTCAACTTCTGATCGAGATCTTCAGAAACTGTTGTGTCATCTGTTAAGGTTGATAAGAAATCATCAGTGAGTTCACTGGTTTCTTCAGTTGCTGATTCTGTGCTTGCTACAGTGGTACTGACTTCGTTTTCTAATTTCTTATTATTTCCTTGCTCAATAAATTGTTCACTCTTTAAAATAGTTGAAGAACTTTCCTGAAAATTTAGTTCTGTACTTGTTGAGCTAGTTAAATTTTCATTCAAAGTAGTTGCTGATGATGTGGATTCTACCAGAAGTAAAGCTTCAGTTCTCATAGGAATCTCGTTCTCGGTTAAAGTATCATTCTTTAAATTCTTCTTGTGTAAACGTTTCCTCTTTTTCTTTCTAGACCTCCTTGACTGAACGTCAGTGGAATTCTTAGGTTTCTTCAGTGGATGCTGAGAATTTCTGGTAGTCTTCAAGTAATTTTCTTCAGAAGAGACTGTACTATACATCTCTTCCACCGTTTTTGGACTCTGCATTGTTGAGAATGAATCATTCTTGATATTTTCTCCTTGTTTCTTCAATTTCTTCAGGCTCCATCTCTTAGCTGAATTTTCACGTTTTCCCATTGGTTCTTTGTTCTTCCACAGCAATCGTTCATCGTTGATCACATTAGACTCAGAATTTCCTGTGATCATGAGGAACCATCAAACGTTGAAGTCCTCTGCTTTCTTTTTCAAATAATAACACGAGGAAGAAGGGCCTTAGAAGACCATAAATCCTATTCTTTCAACGAAAACACAGAAGAAAAGATGAAGAAGAAAACAAGTATCAGAATTTAAATCAGATTACAATTTCAGGGTCGAAACCTAAACAAGAATCTAGCAGTACAGAATTCACCCAGCAACAGGTGTTTGCATTATTAAGTTTCAGCAAAGATTTCATTGTTCCTTCGCTATATTACTTCCTCAAATTCCAAATTATCATTCTGTTTGATTCTTCTTCCATCTTCAACTTCATCCTCACCTAACACACATCTAAAAGGACAATTTTTTCCTTCAAACAAACCTCCTATCAAATGGAAACAACTGAACCAGTCGATGATCAACGAACCTCGTCAACTAAACAGAGATGACGACCCTTATTGTTGATAAAACAAGTCCTAGCTGGGAGAAGAAATACAAATTTCTGAGAATCTACCTGGTTGCCTGTGTGGTAGATGTAAAGTGTACATGTGTGTGGGGGTGAGTAGGTGGTGTGAATGGCATAATTACCGCAGTCCCTCTCGTCAGAGCCATCAGAGCACTCCTCCACCCCGTTGCACTGCAACTCGTAACCGATGCACTGGCCGTCCGTACAGCGAAACTTGGCTTCTCCGCAACCTGCTCCACACACCACACTCATGCACGTTTAACCCTTTAACGGTCACAGTCCACAAGGCAAACATAGGACTGTATCATCTTATCTTTTACTTTCCTCCAGAATACATTTCTTCATGGTTTATGCGATTACTTCAAAGCGATTAGAGGATGAAATATTGTTTTGTTAGGGAGTATTAACATTCTGATAATGAAATTATGAAAGCCCATCGTAACGTTTATCTAATAAATACAATTTATAAACAAACGGTGTTATTTATTTCTCAGGCTTCCTGGTAATCGGTCGAGGCCCGGTTAAAGGGTTAAAGGCAGAGCGAAGTCGGTCTTTCGATTAACCCCCGTTCCACAGAATAAAACACGCGGTATCCGCTTACAATTCCAAGCGTTTTCCCTTTGTCGCGTTCCTTTTTCCCACTCGACGTGTGGGAAATTAGCCATAAGCCGTTGATCTCGCGTTCGTCAATGAAACCACGAAATCCTCTTGCTCGTTATTACGGCGAGTGATCAATGAAATGGCTCGTGATTCGGCTAGCGATGGGCTCGATCCACCTTTCAAAACGTTTCGCGTAAAAAGCATCAAAGAAAACCTTCAAAGTGCGTTTAAAAAAAAATTTCTTCAAAGAGCATTGAAAACAATTTTTCGAAACGCTTCGAGGCGTGTTCCTTTTCATTTGGGAATTTTTGATGAATTCTGTGAGACTCCGATCGATTAAATAGTCGAGCCCAACGCTACAAGGAATTGCAAAAATGATGGAACTGATTGGGGTCAATTTTTGCCGGGGGTAAAAATCTGTCGAAGCGTAGCATGGCGGAAAATTGATCTCTGAGGAAGGGGGAAGAAGTCGCTTCCGGTTGAAGAACGGTCAGCATGGAAAATTGTCAATCGAACACGTTGAAAACTGGATCCCAGAATGATCATCGTTCTCGGATCATTATTTTCATTTTCTGATAAATTAACAATCGGGTCGACGAACTCGACGATCAGAAGAGTTGTTATTATTAAAGGATTTCCATCAAGCGATTAAATTTAAGGATCAAAGTTAGAGCCAGTTTAAAATCTTCATCTGATTACTGATCGATGCAGCTCCAACGTCGAGGAGTGTTTTTCAATTTGAAAGCAAACTTGAAATTCAATTCTGCAAATCGAAAGAGTTATAAATTACTTGAAATTAAGGAAGAAATTTGAAGCAACAGAAATGTTCAATTTCTAAGAGAACTGTGTCAGACTTTGAAGCATTAATAGAAAAAAAAAAATCCGCATAAAATTACCAATAATGAGAACAGAAGAGAAAGAACTCCCACTCTTCGACGTTGGAAAACATCTGTCAGTACCTCAATGAGAATTGCCGCTCCATTCAAGTTAATTAGTCGCTCGTTACCGTCACAATCAGCGTGTTGACTTGTTGCATTCGCAATAAGCATGATCGACACACAGTTTAACAGCGAAACTGTTTCCACAATAATGTTCTCCAAACCGCGTTCCATTTGGATCCACAGATTCACCCTATTTCTTGGGAACGATCAAAGTTCCTTGCTTATTTATTTAGTAAAAAAATGAAGAGATTCTTTCTTACCGCACTGGTTTTCATCTTCTCCATTGCGACAGTCGATGTTCGAATTGCATCTTTTGTCGATGCTGATGCAGGTCCCATCCAGACACCGGAACTGATCTCCGCTGCAGGTGGTTACTAAAAAGGTACAAAATAACATACGTTAGAATTAGAACATAAATTATGATTCTCGGACAGTTGGTCTGAAAGATTGGGATTCTCGGATTCGCGTTGGCAAATAAAATAGAAAATTAACGAAATGAAATAAAACGAAATAAAAAATACCATTGCAATTGTGCTCGTCCGAACGATCCGGACAATCCGAACGTCCGTCGCATCTTGCGTTCTGGCTTACGCAACCACCGTCGGAACAGGTGAATTCGTCCGGTCGGCATCGTGCTAATAATTAAAGAAAAGAAAATAGAAAGAAAATATATAACGTTAAATAAAAATATCCAGGAAAACTAAGGCAAGGCGCAATGATTAATTAGAGGGAAAGGACTGATAGGTCGTTAGAGATGAAACGAACCGGGGATCATTCGTTTATCCTCCGATATCCGTTCACCAGGATAATTAGGCGGCGAAATGAATCGGATTATTCGCGCGGAGTTCCGTTGCGCCTCGACGCGGAAACAAGGAGGATAGGGATCCCGAAGAAACGGACGACTCTGAACTCTCCGTACCCGGAGGAGCGTGTAATTAATTACTCGAGAAACAAGGGTCCATAATCGAGGGCCAAGCGTTATATCCATTCGCTCGAACAGCCTTTCGCTTCGGTTCCAATCGGACACCACTTTTTTCTCTTATCGGACACTTGTTTCTGTGTACTGGGTGTCTTCGCAAATTAATTTCTTTACCTAATATTAATTACAAACGAAAGCTTAAGAATTTTGGAAAAATTAATTTTCTCTCTAATGCAACATAGTTTGTAGGACACGCAGGATAATTCAGGAGTCGAGTCGTTTCAGTCGCGGATTAATAGCTACGATCATTCGAGATCTCCCACCCTTCGCTATAAAATATTGTAAAATTTGTTTCAACAATTTCTTTTAATCATACCGGTGGAACATCTCAGAATATTGTGGTTGAAAGGAGCCGGATACACAAACGCTGTTGACTGTCGCATTAAATGAAACTTTGTGGCATAACAGAGTAATAGAAGAAAAAACTAAAGGCCTAAGGCTCACAAGGGGAACTACCCAAGTGTTACACTCACTTATTAATGAAACTTTGCCAGCTTGTAGAGCTCGTCGAGCTGAACACGCCTATACCCCGTTTTGTGGGCAGACGACTAATTGTTTAAAAGATATTAATAATTAAAGTTAGTTACTACTTACATTCAGAAGTATGACAGACTCGCACCTATAACTCGCAATCCAGAGATCCACGGTACAAATCCTTGGTTCCCAACATTTTTGTTTTTTTTTAATGATAATTTGTCTCTTTTTGAATAATTCTTACCAAAAAAAAAAAAAAAAAAAAAAAAAAAAACAGTGACCCGGGATTTGAACCGAGGACCTTTAGATTACGAGACAAGCGTTTAACGACGGGGCAGATCCGTGACTTACAATTTGAAGGTCCTCGGTTCAAATCCTTGGTTCACAAAAAAAATTTTTTTTTTTATATTGATAATTTTTATGTAATAATTATTCAAAAAGAGACAGATTATCATTAAAAAAAAAAAGAAATGTTGGGAATCAAGGATTTGAACCGTGGATCTCTAGATTGCGAGTTGTATGTGCGAGTCTGTCATACTTCTCAATGTAAGTAGTAACTAACTTTAATTATTAATATCTTTTAAACAATTAGTCGTCTGCCCACAAAACGGGGTATAGGCGTGTTCAGCTCGACGAGCTCTACAAGCTGGCAAAGTTTCATTAATAAGTGAGTAGTTCCTTGGGTAGTTCCCCTTGTCAAATAAAGAAGAACGAAGAGTACTGTTATTCTCGTTACGGATCGCTCTATAAAACTGCAAAGTTTCATTGAAATCGATGAATAAGGTTTATGGTGTTTCCTTGCAAACAGGTGACAGGATTCTTGCAACAGTCAGTTGGCGAGCCACTTGCGAAACCAAACACGTCCAGGCATGCATCTTTCTCAGTCTCATGCTTTCACAGGCAACATATCGACGCTCGAACGCAGCTTGTTAACGCTTCCTTCCCTCGAAAATCGAATGTATTAGTTTCATACTCATGTTCGAACAATTTTCCTCATCCCTTCCGTTGGTACAATCCATGAACCGATCACAGCGTCTGTTTAGAGGCACGCAAAACCCAGGTGTGCATTCAAATTGGTCTTCTCTGCAAGCTGTAATAATCCGTAGAATTCGATCTACTGTGAAATGGTACCTGATTGTTTGCTCGAGTTGATGCCAGAGACGAGAGATGACACAGACAGTGAAGAATATGCTTTGACGAAGACGTGTAGGGACACATAAGGCAGAACATGTAACGCCACAGTCGTATAAGACAGTAGATTGCAGTAGAAAAATGGACAATGATTCTACTGCTTAGCTTATGATTGTATGGTTTCTTAGATGAGGATTTGATGGTTCTTAGACAACGATGGACATACTACTTAGATCATCTATAATTTAGGCTTTTCTTAGTTAAGGAAAAGAGGAGGTTCTAAGGTAGCTTCTGAGGGGAGGTGAGGAGCTCTCCTTGGGTTCTCCTAAGCTTTTTCTTGGGTCCTCCTTGGATTTTGCTTAGGTTCTTTTAGAGTCCTCCTTAGCTTCTCCCAAAACCAAAAGCCTTACCCTTTCTTGGGCTCTCCTTGAATTTTCCTCAAGTTCCCCTTGAGTCCTTAGCTTCTCTCAAAACCAAACTCTCCCTTCATTTCTTGGATCCTCCTTGGATTTTGCTTAGATCTCCTAGAGTCCTACTTAGCTTCTCCCAAAACCAAAAGCCTTACCCTTTCTTGGGCTCTCCTTGAATTTTCCTCAAGTTCCCCTTGAGTCCTTAGCTTCTCTCAAAACCAAACTCTCCCTTCCATTCTTGGGTCCTCCTTGGATTTTGCTTAGGTTCTCCAAAGCTTCTCCCAAAACCAAAGGCCTTCTCCTCTCTTGGGTCAATCAAAGACTCCTCTCAACCTTCCCCTTTAACTAAGAGAAGCCTTAATCATTGATTACTATGTCATAATTTTGCAAGAACATTCACTGTCAAATAAAGAAACCTAAAAACCCCCTAACTACCTCTTACGGTAGTAATCCCCCTGGAAGGAAGAGTATACTTCCAGAAGAGACTTCCAGAAGAGTAGCCACCCAATGACTGACCGGATGTCAGACGTAATTCGAACAGACGAAAAAGAGTCAAGACAGAGGGAAGGAAAGTAGTAGGTTTAGAAAAGCAGACGTAGAATTAATTAGTGGGCAGACAGGGGAGGAGCACGTGAAACGAGCCACCGTTGGCCATTAATTAACACGCACCTGAGGAAATTTCGTGGAAGAGATTATAAATGAACAAGGAGTTACGAGGCTACGTGGTTCTAATTTACGGCGGCAATTAGCTAACGATCGAGGATGAACGACTCTTCGGACGTAGTGCACTCGAAAGAATGAAACGGAAGCACCACCGCACCGTAACACTTGGCCATGCCAGTTTGCCAACGTCTGATGAAGATTCTTTGTAGAACTCTCTACCGAGAAAAAATAACTGAACGTTCCAGCTTCGACAAGCAGACGGATTCGAAATTCTATGCTATTCCCTGAATCGGGTGTGAAGAATTGAACAAGATTTGAAACTTCGAAGGACAATCAATTTTGAACCACTCGGGCTCTCCAAAGATGCTTCAGAGCTTCTCTCTTTTCCAAACAGAAAGAGGCTGGTAATATTTGAAAATTTAAATACTGCATACCGGGTGTTCTTTTTGCAACCACTAAAAATACAAAGATAAAAGCCTTTGAGCCCGTCCTCTGATCTACCGGATTAATTCCGACTCTCTCTGGTAATGCGTTTTCCACGATCGCGTGCAAAGGTGTTGACGACAAAAAAAATGTATATCGCATAAAACGTGACTGTTTAATGGAAACACGGGGACACGCTCGTGATGCTCCCGTGTAATTATTGTGCACGTGAGAATCGTGCTTCGCATGTCGAGCGACAAACGCGGGACGGTTGAAGAAATTCGTTTAACCAGTCGAAAGGAGAAAATTGAAAAAGAATCCTTTTAAAAACCGTTCCGCTTTGTCTTCATTAATTGCTCCTTGTCGTCTCTCAAACTGTGCCAGGAACACCGGGTATATAAATGCGTACACTCAATCAGATTTCTGTTTACCAAGTTTCTTTCATCTTTCCCTGAAAATGGTTTAAATGTGTAATGAAGTTTGGAAGTTCAAAATATTGACGGAATCGGACTCGTTCGGCGAACAATGCGTTAACCGTGACAATACCTCAATTTTCGCAGCGCGATATCGCCTTGTTCGTCAATGACCCATTTTCCTTTTCACGCCTACGGTTGCCTTGATCTTATCGCGGTGATAACTGGCACGCATACTTTTCGCATCTAATCGTCGCTAAGGAAGAATTTCCATCGAAGAAACAAACGACAAAAGTCGCGAAGAGAGTATAATGAATGTATAGCAAACGCTTGATAACTGGCCGCTCGATAACTTTTCGCAGAGATCTATTGCTACTAATGCTAATCACACGTCTCCAGTACATATATCTATCTTTTCAGCGCGGTATTATATTTAAGGTTTTTGGTGGAGGAAATTGTCGAACTTCCCTTTCCCAGAGATTTCCTCCCCTACCAACCCCAACGCGGCTACTTATCAAGGGTTTTGTACCAGCCTGTAGCCGAGCGGCAAAAATGACCGCAAGTTATCGGGCCGTAACGAAGTGAAAAGTTCGCCAATGGAATTCGTGAAATCAAGCAAGAAGTAAATATTCTTTCACCGAGAAAAACGTGATCGCACGGCCCGTACGTAGGCGCGCGGTGAAAAAAGCGTCGAAATTAATTCGATTCCGCGAAAGCAACGAATCGAACGGTACGTGAGGCCACGGCCGCACGGAATCCAGTTACGATTTAACGCGATTTGCCAACGCCAAATGGGTGTCCGCTCGCTGGCACGCTCGATCGGCGAATATCTCGACCTCGAAATTGGCAAACGTGCCCCGCGAGAAAGCACGCGAACGCGTGACACGCCTCGGCAATAAAGTTCAAACAGATCCTCCGACTTTCTGACATCATCTCAGGTTCAAGGCTCGCTCCGCTCGTTGGGATGAATTGCAAATACCGATGCCTCACGATGGAATCTCGATAACCTTTCCTCATTCAACTGGTCTTCGGGTTACAAACTCATTCAGAATGTATCTTAAGGTCAACATTTCCAATAGTGGATTCTTTAGACTATGACGCAAGCCTCCTGCAAGGTACATTTCAAAATGAACAAACAATTCTAGTTGATTGATCAAAGAAGACTTGAACGAAACTAACTCTACTGTCTCTACCTAACGTTCGCTGCTCTTCCTTTTTGTAATTTGTCACCAGACTTCATTAGTGGCATTAATACCGAAGCCGGAAAAACGAGCAACGCTCCCGCAGCCGAATTTAAGGCACCCCCTGTTGCCGAACGAGATTTACTCGCGTTTATTAAGCCGCTCTAATAATCGGCTGCAATTTTAATCCGACGTTAATCTCCAGCCGGGTTTGCTCGGCCCTTACCGCGGCCTGTGCCCTGGAATTTCACCCGTTTTCATCGGTTTAATCCAATTCTGACTCGTGATGGACCCTCGGTGAAACACGTGGACGTACGTGTTCGAGGAAATACGTTGTTCTATTTTTCAGGAAACTAATTTTACCGTGCGGTAAAATAATGTGAAACAGAGAAGAGATTCTAATTTCTGTTCCAGTAATAGTTAACAATGTAAAAATAGTATGCAGGATTATTAAGTCGAGTTAATCTTCGTCTGAATGTTTCAGAAAACTTGCCTGTACGTTGTCGACACGGGCCAAAAATGAGGGGCAAAGTGTCGCTAAGGGGTGGTTAACCGTGGACGTGGCACCGTCAGAGCGTGCCTCTGCAAAAGGCGATGGAAATAATAAGGGGTTGGAAAGACAGGAAGACAGAGGGTGGCCGAGGGAGGGGCAACAAGTGCAATGGCCTGGAAACACTAGGCCAACCACTTCCCCCATACCCCTCGGCTGGCTACCTTCTCTCTCTGATCACGCTATTGTTATTATTGTCACAGCTATTGTAATTATTCAGCTCATCGTAATACCTGCTCGTTCGCGATTAACTCCACCGTAGTCGCATGCTAACTTAATGATAACCAACGATAAAATCGTCCTATACGAGTCTTGTTCTTTCTGGTTACTGTGTATGGAATTCTTGCATCGTACCAGGACTGCTGGTCAGGAAATACAGGTTCAGAATCCAATGTTTGAATGAAAATGAACAAGATGGCTAGGAACTAACTGGATGAATATGAATTGAAAGAACATTTGGAGTGTGAGATGAAGTATTGAGACGAGCATTCATAAAATGTTTGAGGAAGAGTATAGATAATACCTTCTTGGATTCAATAACGACTGAAACTTGCTGACAATTTTGCTGAAGAACATAAGTGCACGAGTATTGTGTTAGTAATAGCTTTGTTTGAAAACACGCGAGTGAGTTATATCCATCATTACGTGTACCATATATCATTCTCTGTGTAATTTAACAACAAGCAAATCAGAAGAATGTTAAAAAACAAATTCGATAGTAAAATAAACAAAGAATTTGAACCATTGACGCGGCAATTACAATTAATCCGAGCGAGCAGAATTATTCACAAAAGCGCTGGGACCGCAGAATCGCGACCCTTTCGAGGAATTAATTAAAAAAACAAAACACACTCGCGACAGCTGACGTTTTTCGATAAAAAAAAAAAGCGCCCAGACCTGCCGCGTCAATTCAAAACTGCAACGAACACGTGCAAGCAAACATGGATGCATCATACATGCACACACACGCGCGCACTGAAATTAAGAAAACCCCGGTTACAATACGTGCAACAATAAAGAAATAATAATAACAACAGTTCTTTTCACGTGTGTATTCTGTGTACTCACGGCAGTTAAGCTCGTCGGTACGGTCGCGACAATCCTCGACGCCATTGCAATGTGCACTGCTGTCGATGCACTGGCCGTTTCTGCATTTGAATTGCGTGGAGGTGCAAGCTGCGCATAAAAGAAAAAAGGAAAACGTGAAATTAGGTGCATGGAATTACCGAATGTCTTTTGTGTCAGACATTCCCGACGTTAGATTTATCCATCCGCTAAATTAAACAACAGCTCCTGTTTTAACCGACATTTTGAATTTATAAACTGTGGTGGTTATTTATTGGTCACGATGAAAATTTCATAGCTCCATAACGAATCGAATTCACATTTGATATCACGGTTTCTAATTTCAAATAAGCGTATCGATTCGAATCTATACGGTCGTAGAATATTCCTGCTGCAAAATAATAATCTAACTTATTTTAAGTTTCAAATTTTAATATACGAGCTACTGCGCATGTCCGCTGCGCAAGTAATGCGCATGTCCACTGCGCAAGTAGCGCACATGTCCACTGCGCAAGTAACGCGCATGTCCACTGCGCAAGTAATGCGCACGCTTGGATAACCTACATTCGTAAGTTTGTAAAATGACAGGTTAATATTATTTAGTAAGTGAAAAAATCAGCACAGTTTAGAGGCGATAAAAATAAAATATTTACTCTTTGACGCTTTCGTTTACAAAGAAGCGGTGGTACTCGAATTTCTATTTGATGCACTGAGGGAACAGATCCAATAATGCCGCACGCTCGACGTTTAATATTCGTGGGGTAGCTCCGACGAAAAGAATCAGGTTTCAAAGACGAAATCGTATGCACCGGATCGATATCTTCTATAAACTTCTAGTATTTCTTAACCTGTTTGCCGATTGATAAAACACAGTGAAATATAGAACCGAAGAAAGTATTTGTTTACCCAGTTTGATTATGAATTTTGTCTTATTTAATCGTCTTATCTTATTTCTAAAATTTCATATGGATTTCCTTTTATTCTTTAATAAGCTTATCATATTTATTCCTCCCTGTTTAATTCGACACCACTCCTTTCATGCCATTTAAAATTTTTCAAACGCCACTGGCTCCCCCCTTAATGCGTGTCATTAATGGGAACTATTTTTTAATGTACGACGTGACACATTATTTAGGCGCAGATAGGACCAATGAAATCATCAGCGGGAAAATCAAATAAAATAGCGTCAATGAGATATTTTTCATCTCAGTTTTTTCGGCCAGTTAACCTGTACGCAGCGATTTGTTATCAACTCTCGCTACTCTCGTATTGCTATCGAAAGTGCTTGGAATTCGTACGTATTGCATTTCAGATAAACACAAGCCGCGAGTCGGTCCAGTTTCATCCCGGTCGACGGTGAACGCCGGATATGCTTTGGTACGTTTCCACTTCCGCGATACGAATCCGTTGACTACGGTGTTGTTTCAGCAATTGGATCGACATCGGGTCATCTCGTTTTCGCAATTATGTCGTGTTCATTCGAGACAATCCGCTTTGGATAACGTTACAGCGACGCGTATAAAATGGTCGGAGTCGCGTTTCGCTGGTCAAACCTATTTTCCACGTTCCCGCGCTCGATTTACACCGGTATTGTTACCGACCGATGTTAACACGTCGAGCGATCTGTCGATTCTCGTTTCCCCCATTTTGGAAAATATTAAACGGCCATTTTATCTACGTATAACCTAAAAACAGACCACAATTAACCTCAATCCAACGATTGTAGAATGAAATATGCAAAATAACTTAAGTTGTTTAACCCATTAACTGCGAAATTTTTATTTTTGATATTTTTATTTAACATTTTATTTAATATAATCCTAATGATAAAAAATATATATATATATTCAAATCCCTATTTGGAGATCGTGGTAGCAAATGGGTTAATTAAACCAAATATTAAGTTACTTAGAATCACGTATCTGTTAACCACAATTTAATTGTCAACAGGTTTACAAAGAGACACTCGAGATTATCCTGTTTCAGGATCCCCACAGCAGCACGTGGTTAGATGGGGAAAGGGAAGATTCATAGCAGCAGAGTCAGGGTTAAGAAGGGCTCCCGTTGGAGTCTTCATGGCGATACGTTGGTAAATGACGAACCAGTGTCGAGTGGGGTGATTGAATAGCAGTCTCCCGTGTCACAAAGCATACCTGATCCCCCTCTGCTCGTCAAAACCTGATCTCATCTTCTGTTCTACACATTCTTATTCCCCAACGCCGCATATTACGAAACCCCATCAAACGGTGCGGCTTCGAGTTGTAGGATTTCAAACGTCCAGCCAACTTTAAACGTTGAATTTTGAGATTGTTGATACAATACCGATGGAGGGTTCTATTTTCGAGGCTGCCGAACGTTCGCCACTATATCCAACCGAAGACACGAAGGCTGCGTCGTGAAATTCCGTATAATCCAGTCGCATCGTAACGCGGCATTAACATCTTTATCGAAAACAAGGGGAACAGGGGGGGGTGAACCGCGGGAGAGTGAAATATTGAGGCAGCAGCTTAAGGCGGATGGAAAAGTTTGCATGGTTCTTCCCCCTTTTTTTTCCTCCATGCTCTAAAGATGCATGAGAGCGTGTCTCGCGGTTGGAAAAGCCCGCCTTTACCCTGCACCATTTTACAGCCGCGATTCTCTTATCGCGTCCTCCACCTCCCGACGTCACACCTCTCGCCTTTACCTTCGATCATCACTATTTAAAGCTCGAGAAGTTCGGGAAATTGCCGTGTTGTAACCACTTTGACGCGGTAGCTTTATCGTCTGCCCGCTGGGAACACTCGTTTACAGTGCCTTGAAACCATCGAGCAACGCGATTCCTTGCGTCATTTGTCAGCTAATGGTCATTGACTACCGTTCAACTTCTCTTTAGCGCCGTTCCTCATCCATCTCTGTCAATTTGCGCGGAATCCCACAATCGTTCGACACGGGATTACAGGGTTTGATACCCAAACGATCATCCTCCTGGCACGCATTTTTCGTCTGTTAATCAATCAAAGCTTCCCTCGTTTGAGAACGGTGTTTAACCATTCAGAAGATTGCGGACCATTTGAATGGAGGTAGATCAATTACGGACGACAGGGAATATAACTCTGGACCAAGAACCTTGCCCCGTCCCTTTTTCACCAACGGTGTTCACAGTTTTTCGACTGTCATAACGAGGACATTAGTATCGCGTGCAACAGCCCGTGCAACACTCAGCGCAGCTTGCCAAGCTTTTTCATACGGCTACCACGAAGAAAGTAGCCGGGAAATGATGTTCCAGATAGGAGACGGTGAATTAATTTTCCATCCAACCAGCCCAGCGACACTACTGAGATTTTTCAGCTGAATATATTATTTTATACGTATTCGGGAACTCGGTACGTCGATTGGTACACGATTGTAGAATGGAATTGAAACGGTGTCGGGAGGGAACAGACAGTGAAGATCGTGTCGCATCCCTGAAACGTGGGGTTGGCAGGCGAGAGGTGGATGGGAAACACCGTAGGGACTAAACTTTGCCCGCTAGCAGTCCATTAGAAGCGCACGGACGATTTAGCAGAGAGGGGCTGCTCTCGCTTTTCTAGCCTGCCTTTTAGGTCCAGCAATTTGATGCTCCGGCTTCGCCTGTCATGCTAATATCCTAAGCTTTATATCGAGTCGAGTTTTTCCCGGTTCTGATGTATGTTTCCGGGTAAGGGTACCTGTGGGACGCGTCGTTGAACACTCTGCATATTACTTTTTATTGTACGTTACCAGACGATTTTTCTTCCACTGTATTCTGTTGTTGCGGAAGAGATAGCAACATTACAAATTATTGTTATCTATTTTCATTTTTTCAAATAATTCAATGGATAGAAGAGCTGTTGGAACATTTGGTGGGAAATAATTTTTCAATTGATTTATAATAAAAAATGAAGGCTACATGAATTTAGTCTATGTCTCAGATAAGCTTACTATCAGAATGATTGATTAATTGAATGAAATATGCTTCGGTAAATGTAGTACGAGCACAATGGAAAGTTTCTTGAAAAGAAGCAACAACGTTTTGCGGGCTCGGGGGAAAAAAAACCTGCCTAGCACACTAAACTCTCCTCGTTTCAGAGAACACTCGCGTGATTTAACGGATAACGAGTTCGGGTTTGCTCGTCCTAATGAGACACGGAAACAGAAAGGGCGTGATTTCCCTTCGAGTAAAGAACCAATGCTGTTGTGCTTTTTTACAAGCTTAGCAAGCTTCTGTTTCTTTAAAACTAATCATTATTTCATTGTTGCATATCAAATGATCGATGTAAAGTTCGACACAATTTCATGACATAAAAGTATCACGAAATCGCACTTGTAGTATACCAATTTAAAGGTTAATGTTCAAGGAAAATTACTGTATAAATGTTTCATTAATAGTTTTAATACAAAATAATTAATTCATTTTTATTAGACTTTAAGCTTTAAATTGATGTGCCATAAGTGTTATTCCGCAATACTTTTATGTCATGAAATCATTGATACGTGGTGGTAGGAGTTCTATTGCTCGACATTATCATCACGTAAACAATAATCGTTACAGAAAAATGAGCATCGATTTGGTAAATGAATTTGCATGAAAAATCACTGTTCGATGGGTAACGAGCGTCCACCGAGTCAAGCAGATATATGAACGCAATATATAAAGTCATATTCCCCGTCATACAGTGAAGCGCGAGGAGGGGTTGTAAAACGTGAGAGCCAGCCTGTACACGCCAGGGATTCGACATATTTTAGTGGCCGATTTGCAATTTAAACGTTATAATTAATGACGTTCTGTCGCGAACCGCGAACGTGAGGGGAAAAAATAATTTTGCACGTGGACCGAGGGGATGATAATCGTTCGGATTCGGTGCTGGAGAAACGATTTCGTAAGATTTCCTGTTGCTCTAATATCGTCATGCTGAATATTAGCATATATGTATTTCATCGTGGAAATTATCGAGAATAATTTATCTCCTTTTTCAGGAATATTATAGAAAGAAGGGTTGAAACTAAAACATACATTTTCTAAGCAGAAGAATGAAATATTAAAAATTCTTGTATTGGATTTAGCCAAAGAAAGGAGCGATCTGAATAAAAGATGGGACATGAAATCGGGGGTC